AGTCCCTGGTAATGAGATGTTCACCTGGGATTGCAGAACAGGGAGCCGCTGTCATTGGTGTGGGCAGGATCTGAGGGGCCGTGGCTGTTTTTTTCCTGGCACCAACTGTGCCCTATGCTGGGCATTCATGGGCCTTCCGTCCCACCCTCACAAGAACCCCTGGCTTGCAACAGCAACAGATTTATGAAATAGCTTGCCCAAACGCACAGCCTCAGCCTTGGCCAGCCTACCTGTAGACAGAGTAGATGGTGGCTAACAGAAGTCTGTTGCTTTGATTCTGAGGCTGGGGTTCAGATTTGGTGTCTGGAGGAGGTCAGGTTAACCCACGGCACTCACCCTGCCGTGCCAGGACATGGTGGATAGGACCAACAAGCTCCTTCAAGGTATTAATCAATCCCGTGAACACTCTTTCCTGTGACCTAATCCCCTCTCAGAGGTCTTGCCTTGAGAATGAGATTTCTGCATGGGAATTTGAAGGGTCATGGATGTTTAGGCTGAGGACACATAAGTTGAGGATCAGGGCTTTTCAGAGCTGGGTCTGGGTACCACAGCACTTGGGCCAGGTAACTTTCCTACTCTTCCTGATGTAAATGTGAATATGTACCCAGCTTTCTGGAATAAGTGGAGCTGTTGGGGACTCTGATGTGTAGCCTCACACATGTTCCCCATGTGTAAGGTGAGGAGCCCAGGTTGGAATGTGTTGGTCTCTTGTCCTGCGGTAGGTGTTACGCAGATAGAGGATATCGTTGAGCAGGAGGTACGTGAGCCCACTGCAGCCAGTCCAAAGCCCCACTCAGCTCATGTCAGAAAGATGGTAGGAGGTTGTGGCTGCATAGACAGGTGAGGGAACCAGAGCGCAGTGATCTCAGTGACCCACTGTGGTCGTGTTCACCCAGGGAAACTTAGGTGGGGAAACCAAGAATCTAGCCAGGCCCTGGTTCTCTACATACCGGTTACTTCCCTTTGTGACCCTGCTGGGGAGTCCTGATGCAGCTCCTTATCCATAGAAGTTTCTGCCCACCTGGTCCTGCAGCCGTTCAGTCCCAAAGAAATACACAGAGGTCTATGTCAATTATAAACTGGTCGGCATATTAGCTCAGGCTTCTTATTAACTCTTTTTTTTTCTCTTATTAACTCTTAATAACTTACATTAGCCCATAATTCTTGTGTGTGTTAGCCACATGACTTGGTACCTTTTATCAGCAAGGCATTCTCATCTTGCTTCCTCTGTGTCTGGATGACAACTGCAGACTGAGTCTTATCTCTTGCCAGAATTCTCCTGTTCTCATTGCCCCACCTCTACTTCCTGCCTTGGTCGCCTTGCCTATACTTCCTGCCTGGCTACTGGCCAACCAGCGTTTTATTAAAACAGTACAATATAAGTGATAGGGTAGAAGACCATTGTCCCACAGCATACAACCACTGGCAAAATGCCACAAGAGGACCAAGGAATGCTCTGTTGATCTCCATTAGCCTGCTGAAAGAGGAGACCTTTTTCTTATTAGTGTGCTTAGGTGGTCGCTGTGCTTCCTATGGGCTTGATTTATTGGTCAGCTGAGAATCTGAGCATGTCAGGACGCCAAGGGTTCCCTCTAGCCTTTACATCCCTATCCCTGAGAGAGCTCACCGTGCAGGAGGGACAGCTCTAGCTATCTCAAGTGTCACTTAGAAAATACTCCAGCAGGCTAAGAAATGTGGCCTCCGCTGAAGGTAGGGAGACTTCAGGTGGGTGACGTCAGTTGTCAGGACACTTTTTCCTCTACTTCTCTCTGGTTTCTGAACACATTTGTTTAGCTTAAAATATTTTACCCAGCACAGGCTGGATTGCATATCTGTTGTGTTTCTCAGCTCCGGTGTTGTAGACTGGACTGTGTACCTGTTAAATCCCCACATTAAAGTCCTCACCCCTGAAGTGATGTGTGAGAGATAGGGCCTTTCAGGTGGTGATTAAGGTTTGTGGAGTCTTAGGGTGGTGGAGCCCGTAACAAGAGGAGACTTTAGGCCAGCGATGGTGGCCTTTAACAGAGGGAGGTGGATGTTTGTGAGTTCGAGACCAGCCTGGTGAGTTTCAAGACAAGCTCAAAAGCTACACAGAGAAATCCTGTCTCAAGAAACAAAACAAAAGAAAAGAAAAAAGAGAGACATCAAAGCTATATCTACTTAGAGGAAAGGCCATGTAAGGACAACAGAGCCAGACTTGACCACTTGAGAGCCAAGGATAAAAGCCCTAGGAGAGGCCAGACTTGCTGACACCTCCTTTGTGAACTTTGGCCTCAGAACTCAGGACAATGAGAAACACATTTCTTCTCTGTTGTTGAAGTCACCCAGTCTTGAGATGGAGACACCCCAGGTTTAGAAAGAATGGAGTCTTTATGCAGAATGAAGTCTTTGTGGCTGTGTAGCAATCTAGTGGGAACCCAACTAGACTTGCTTGCCCTCCAAGTCTGGGCTTGCCCATGGCAATGACATGGAGAGGCCATCCCAACCTTGTAAAGGACCATGGGGAGAGAGAGCTGCCTGCTCTGAGAACCATTCAGTAAAAAAGCAACTCCCGACTAGGGAGAGTGTTGTCCTCCTGGGGACAGGAGACCATGTCTGGAGACATTTTGTCAGCACTAGGATAGGAGATGCTACTGATGTCTAGTAGGTCAGAGCTAAGGATGAGGTGAGGATTGTTACACCTAACAGGTTGGCTCCCCACAATGAGGGATTGTCCCCAAGCATCTTTGGGGCTGGGGATAAGAAACTGCAGCAAAACTGGGTTCTTTGCCTGTGCCTTAATTAGGGACCAGCACTTCTGACTAGGAAAGCCAGGCTGAGTAGGCGCGAGGACAGAGCAGATGTGAGGCTGAGTATCTGCTGACTGTTGCGTGATGCAGGAAAACTACTGACCTTTGAAGGCTGCCGAGACTGTGGAGCAGATTCACAGGGAAAACTTGGCACTAGAGTGTCTGTCTACAGAGTGAAGGACTGACTGAGGCCCCTCTCCCTGCTGCCAAAGTCCATGTGAGAGTACCTCTCCCCACCCCCCAGTATCTCTGGTCTTCCGCCTTCCGAACCAAGTATCCCCAGAGCATCCACAGGGCAGGAAGAAGAGGTTGCTGCTGACAGGAAGAAGCTGTGCTTGAAGGCCCAAGGGCCTCAGAGGAGAAGGGAAGTGACCTCAGAAGGAAGAAAGGTGGAGACCTGTTCTGAGATGGGAAGGAAGCAAGTGTGTTTGGAGGTGGTAGGGAACTGGGAACGAAGGCTGCAAATGCTCAGGGCGTGTGTGCCTAGTTTAGGGTTAGGGGAGAGAGGGAAAGGGCCTGGCGCTAGCGCTGGCTCTGAGAGTGACAGGCAGGCTTCACCAGGTACTCATAGTAGAAGAAATGTTTATTAAGCTTTCTGAGGGAAAGTTTCCTGGGTTGGAGACAGGTAAGCAAGCCCTTTTCTGAACCTGGGGGGCTTACCGTTTCCTTGTGCTCTGTCTCCCACTTCTTCAGCAGGGGATCCAGCTGCAGGACTTGCCTGTGAGCAAAGTTAGGAAGCACCGTGAGAGGACCCCCCCCACACCGACAGCAGAGGGCATCCACAGCTCAGGGTTGGGGAGGTAGGGTGCAGTCTACAGAAACAGACTGGCTTATTTGACTGTTGGGACAAAGGATAAAACAGCTATTGAGAAAGCAAAGATGGGGTTGGAGAGATGGCTCAGCGGTTAAGAGCATTGCCTCCTCTTCCAAAGGTCCTGAGTTCAATTCCCAGCAACCACATGGTGGCTCACAACCATCTGTAATGAGGTCTGGTGCCCTCTTCTGGCCTGCAGGCATACAAGCAGACAGAATACTGCATACATAATAAATTTATGCAAGGGCTGGTGGGTTTCCTGGGAGCAGTGGGGCAGTGAGATCGTTGGGCGTTCCTTTGGCTGACATTGCTGTCCATGAGCATGTTGGAAGATAAGGAGCAACCCCATTGGCTGACAGGGTTGGAGGAGGTAAAAAGCTGGGAGGAGAGGATGGAGAATGGACAGTAGGCAAAGCCAGAGCCAGGCAGGCAGGTTGGTGGGAGAGCGTCCAGGTCGTGTCTTGGGGGGCAGGTGGTGAAGGGCTAGCTCAGTCCTGCATAATGCACGTCACATAAAGCCTTGCACATTCTTCTCAGCGCCTAAGCAATCAGGATCAGAGTTGACTGTGGCCATATTTAATTTACATACCAAAGGTTGACTATTTTTTGCTCGCCTTCTCTGTTTCCTGTCTTGCTCCTATCTGACTTCAACAGCATCAGCCCCATCATTATTTTTTATAATACCCCAGGGTTCTCCTACCCCAGGGCCTTTGCACACACAGCCCTTTCTGTCTAAGACACTTTCTCTTTGTTTCGTGACTTTCCTGGTAAGATTACAAACAAACCTGATAGGATGCTGATGACAGACTAAAGTACCATTCCTCTAGCATCCAGCATGGCCTTACTTACAGAGCGTGGGTAACCCCAAAACAGCCACATCGCAGAAAGTCACCTCAGCAAGGCTGACAGTTTCTGCATAGCTACACAGATAGTCCTCCCTTCTGCTGGCGTTCCACACTGTACAATGAGACCATACCCAGCTTGAGTGTTTATAGGAAGGAGTGATGGGACTCTCAAGTTAGGGTCTAGTGACCCTCTGCACACCCTTCTTCATGAGGACTGTCATCAGGCTTGATCTTGAGAGTCTCTTGTAAGTAGGAGTCAACAGATGCTTTGGTGGCCATGGTAATGGCTGATAGGCTATGAGGACAATGACCTACAGCAAGCCTTTATCTCTTTTCTGATTGGCTCCCATTATACCAATGAGGGAACCCAGGGAAACCTGCCCAGGGTCTGGAGTCAGTGCTGCAATGAAACCAGGATTTGTTGCCCATACGGGATGCCCGTTTTCGGAGTTTATCAACCTCTGCTCCGCAGAGTGGGCATCTGGTACAGTGTGAGAAGTGCCCTCAAGTGTCCCATGTCTTTAGGTGACCGCTTTGTCTCTGTTTCCTCAGGATGCAGTTCTGAGCCGCCTGTGGTTCCCGATGGCCCTCGCAGCGAGTCCGTGGAAGGAAGCCCTTTCCGTCCTCCGCACTCCTCCTCGGCGGTGTTCGATGAAGACAAGCCGATAGCCAGCAGCGGAACTTACAACTTAGACTTCGACAGCATCGAGCTGGTGGACAACTTTCAGAGCCTGGAGCCATGCTCTGCCGACTACAAGGGTCAGGAGTGTAAGGTGAGCACGCGGAGGAAATCCACCGAATCCGTGCCCCCTTCCAAGTCCACGCTGTCCCGCTCGCTCAGCCTGCAAGCCAGCGATTTTGACGGTGCTTCCTGCCCGGGCAGCCCCGAAGCTGGGGCCCTTGCCACAGATGTGTGTGGTACTGGATCCAACAGTGCGTCCAGCACCCTTAAGAGAACTAAAAAAACACGGCCGCCTTCCTTGAAAAAGAAGCAGGCCGCTAAGAAACCCACAGACACCCCTCCAGTGAAGGAGACCCAGCAGGAGCCAGGTGAAGAGAGTCCAGTCCCCAGTGAGGAACACCTTGCGCCAGAGACAAAGACGGAGCCGGCCACACCCGAGAGCACTGGGTGTACCTTGTCAGAAGAGACACCCCTGGAGCCCACCCCTGTGCCCACAGCCACCTGTCCTTTGACTTTGGAGAGGGCAGAAGAAGACGTCAACCCTCCGGTTTCTGGAGGTGGCAGAGTGCAGAACTCACCCCCTGTGGGGAGGAAATCAGTGCCTCTTACCACAGCCCCTGAGGCAGTGGAGGTGACCCTATCAGAAAGTGGGGGGCAGGGGGACTTCCCTGCCAAAGGACTCTCAGTGAGGCTGGAGTTTGACTACTCTGAGGACAAGAGTAACTGGGACAGTCAGCAGGAAAACGCCCCTCCCACCAAAAAGATAGGCAAGAAGCCAGCTGCCAAAATGCCCCTAAGGAGGCCAAAGATGAAAAAGACCCCTGAGAAACTTGACAACACTCCTGCCTCACCTCCAAGGTCCCCTACTGAACCCAATGACATCCCTATTGCGAAAGGTACCTACACCTTTGATATAGACAAGTGGGATGACCCCAACTTTAACCCTTTCTCCTCCACCTCAAAAATGCAAGACTCTCCCAAACTACCCCAACAGTCGTACAACTTTGACCCTGATGCCTGTGAAGAGTCCCTTGACCCCTTTAAGACATCCTCTAAGACCCCCAGCTCACCTTCTAAATCCCCAGCCTCTTTTGAGATCCCAGCCAGCACCGCTGAAGTGGACGGGGATGGGTTGAATAAGCCCGCCAAGAAGAAGAAGACGCCCCTGAAGACGTAAGTTCAAGGAGGGAGGTGGCAAGGATTCAGAGTGGGTGTGCATTGCTGTGACTTCTGGTCCTGTCTGTGCCTGGGAAAGCCCCAGCTGCCCTCATCCTGCCCCTTGTCGCTGTGATGACACCATTTTTTGTGGCTGTTTCTCCAAGCAGGCAGGATACACACTTCCTTTCTGTAGCCTCTGTGGCTGTATCATCTCCTTATCCCTGAACCCACGAAGTCCTTGATCTTTCACCTTAATAAATCAGGGACTTGAAGTTTTATGTTTAGCTAATGCTGACCTTTCAACTCCAGGGGAATATGGGAAATTCCGTAGAGAAGCAGCAGGCCTGGCTACCCTCCTGTTGGTGGCTGAACTCTTCCCTGGTTAGCATAGGCGTTGCCTTTGGATTAGTTGGGATATACACCCTTCTGAATCTACAGCATTTGTTTCTACCTGCTGATGTCTCTTTAACTCAGGGGCCACATAGGGCAACAGGCTGCAGGAGGCCCCAGAAGGAGAGCTGCTGCTTGCCCTCCAATGAGCCTATTTTTAAAAATGGGCCCTTTGTTGCCTTTCCGTTGGACATCTTTTTCAAATAAGACTTGAAAGTATCTATAAGACCTGAAGAGATTGGTGGGACCTGGATGGGGGAAGTAAGCCCTATAATCCCTAGGAAGAATGGCTTTTGCCCACAAACACTTGCCAACGATTGTCCCTAGCTGTTTTGTGTTGGTGCCCAGCACTCATCCTGAGAAGTCCAACTTTGTCAACTATAGGTCCATTCCTGAGGATCTATAAGCCAAGGACCATGTGTCCAGTTGCTACAGACATCCTGGCTCTCTTGGGAAACATCAGTGTGATTTAATCAGTTGGGAGACTCAGCCTCCCATGCCAGGCTGGACCCTCTGGGTCTACTAACACAGGGTGACCCACCTGCATTGGCTATCTGAGAATAATCCAGGTTCTGCTTTGGCCTTAAGTTGTTCGGTCACTATCTTACAGTAACTGAAGGCCAGTCTGGCTCCAAACATGAACTTGTTTTTAGCTCTGTTCCCCAACCAGACCCTTCATAGAGATTCTATAAGATTCATATTAGAACCTTATTTTTTTTAAATATTTATTTATTTATTATGTATACAATATTCTGTGTGTATGTCTGCAGGCCAGAAGAGGGCACCAGACCTCATTACAGATGGTTGTGAGCCACCATGTGGTTGCTGGGAATTGAACTCAGAACCTTTGGAAGAGCAGGCAATGCTCTTAACCACTGAGCCATCTCTCCAGCCCTAGAACCTTATTTTTAAAACTAATTTTAACTTTTACTGAAAATAGATTTTTTTTTTCTCCTCGTACAATATATTCTGTTCACGGTTCCTCTCCCCCAACTCTTCCCAGGTCCTCCCTACCTACCCACTCACCCAAATCCATGTAGAAATTTATTTTAAGAGTGGAGTATTAACCAGGTGATGGTAGTGCGCGCCTTCAATCCCAGCACTTGGGAGGCAGAGGCAGGCAGATCTTTAAATTTGAGATCAGCCTGGTCTACAGAGTGAGTTCCAGAACAGCCAGGGCTATTACACAGAGAAACCCTGTATAGGGGTGGGGAGAGTGGACTAAGACCCAGCAATGCTTACACTTCAAAGCCATAACTTCTCATCTTTAGAAAGAGTCACCTGGTAGGCACTCCCTTCTTCTGACCCAAGATAGTATAGTACATCCCTAGTCGTTTTTTTTTTTTCCCCTTTGTTCATCAGAGCTAAGAAGGTTGGGGAAGCTGACCCTGTGTCTCGCTGTCACCCTTAGTACATATGGGTCTGTTGGTTTGGAAGACTCTCCTGTGGAGGCAGAGCTTTTAGGTACCAACCCTCTGGGTGGTTAGAAGCTAGAGAGGAAGGCAACAACCCTTTCCCAGAAGGCTGGACTGTGCACCCTGGAGCAGAATCCGCTATGGATGGTTGCCACATCCTAACCCACTAGTGCCCGGTGTCTGCAGATTTATCTTTTTATCTTTTTGTCAGTTCCTTCTGTCTGTCTCTCTTCTTTGTCTTTTTGTCTTAGGATGGTTGAAGATGTGATGTCTGTGTGTTCTCTGTTGTAAGTAAATTTAATACAATCTGCCTCTTGCATCCAATGTGGGGCTTCTGCTCGCAACCCTTTTCCTTTCTTCTCTGTGGTGGCTGCTGTATTTCTGTGTAGATCTTGGCAGTGATGGGTCAGGGCTCCCCTGCAGTCAAGGTTACTTATCTGTTTCATCATGATTAGCACGAGACTGCTTGGTTAGCCAACAGCTGCCTGCTTGTCTGTCTGAAATGGAAGCCTTCCCCTGCCTGTCGCCCCCCCACCCCACGCCCTGTATCTTCTTCTGAAACCCATATATTGGTTTTTAACACCCGATTCCATTCTTTTGTTACCAATTGGGCTGGTGGGTGATCCATTCAGTAGCAGGATGCTTTCATATTTAGCGTTGCGTTGAAGCCTGGGGCAGAGACTGCTGAGGCTGTTTCTTGTTATGGCGAGGCACTACCATTTGGGCTCTTCCAAATCCGTGCTTGTAGAAACCGGAGGGAATGTGGGATCCACTCAGAGTGGAACTCATGGCTGAGAACCGTTGCCAGAGTGCTTTGGTTCATATTCTCGGTTACTTACGTCTAGACTGGATGCCAACATGTCTTATCCATGGGCATCTCTGCCATGCATCAATGCACTGGTCACCCGTATGCCTCTGGTGCTCCGTACCCTAGCCAGGGCACAGCTCGGGGCTCTGAATCTATGGTGCCTTCTCCCTGCTTTTAACGGGGAAGCTGACCTGGACCCAGGCTTCTGGCAGCCTTCAGGAGAGCATGGAGGCTCCCAATTCTGTCTTACCCAAGCAGCCGCTTTTAGTATTTTCAAGTCATTTAGCAACTATAAAACAACTATATATTTATATGCATGAATAAATATATGCCTTATGTTGGGACTGGACTGTTTTTGATGGCAAATGCCATAAATGCTATAAAAAACCATTTATGGTACTTTTTTTATGATCAAATGCCATTGTTGGAGTGTTGTATTTGAGAGCACAAGGAAGGAACTTGGGTATCAGATTTCTCTATCCACTCAGTTAACAGGGAAAACAGAGGAGGGTGGTGGGATTTTAATTGAGGGACCCTGCCTCTTCCACACCTAAGCTTTAGCTTTGCCTGGTTCTAAAACCGTAGTGGGGAGAGCTGGACACCAGTTTGCAGGTTGAGGGCTTTCACTTTTGATTATGACCCCAAGAATATGCTGACTAATGGACCAAATAGTACTATTTATGCTCAAACTCGTCCCCACCTCCATCACCTTACGTGAAGGGGAGACAAGAGGATGGAGTTGTGTCCGTTACCCACAGCCAGGGAAGACTCCTCCTCAGTCAGAACCCCACTCAGGCTTCCAGAGCAGAAGAACCCACTGGGCTCCGTGTTCCTGTGAGCACAAAGGGCTCCTGCATCCCCACAGGATCCAGAACTTTCTGTTTCCATGTAGGCTCGGCTGGCTGTTCATTAAGAGCCGTGTCTCCTTGCCCATGTGAAAATTGAATCTGTTAATTAGTCATGAGCCTGCAGCCCTTCCCCCAGCCTTAGCTGGCTCAGAAATGATTCTCCTCACCACAACTTTGCTGCGTGATAGTAAGAACGGTTAGTTAAATTTAGCTGCATTTTTCTGGGTCAGCTCTCCAAAGTGGCTTCTTGTTAAAGGTCTCTGGCTTGATGGGGCAAAAATAATACCGGCTAAAAAGTCAGAATGAGCTTTTGGGTAGGCGGGAGGGCTGGGTGGTTGCCGGGTGCTTGGGAATGATCTGTGACCCCGTGTTTACATTTTCCGTTTTATTTACAGTGACACTTTTAGGGTGAAGAAGTCACCAAAGAGGTCCCCTCTGTCTGATCCGCCTTCTCAGGTACAGCACTCCCTTGATCCCTTGAGTATTACACTGCTAACCAGGAAGTTTATGCTGCTTTGTCTGTACACACACACACACACACTCCTGCACAGATGCACATGAGCCATGCACACATGCATACATGCAAACCAAAAAACAGGGAGAAAGAGTTTTCCTTTTTTTCTCTTTATGGCATGGAGTGTTTTGATCCACATCACTTTGATAGAGATCAAGGTGTGTGCTGAGAGGAATTAATTGAAAATGAGGGCTAGATTTTATAGCGGGAATTCTTTTGTCTTTTCTGACCATTTAACCTGCTGAGAACTTGCATCAAGTTGAGATCAATGGACACAGAGTGAGAAAAGGGGTGGAGACTCATTATGTATAAAGAGCACCAAATTATGCCATACAGTAGGAAGCTGAGGGACGTTTACTCTTAAGAAGCTTGGGCTTAGAGAGCTGGTTCAGTGATTAAAGGTATTTGCTGCTCTTGCTGAGGATCCAAGTTCAGTTCCCAGCACCCACATGGTGGTTCACAACTGTTTGTACGAGGATTCTAGCACCCTCTTCTGGCCTCTGTGGGTACTGTACAACATGATGCACATATAGACACACAGGCAAAACCCTTATATACACAAAATAAATCTCTAAGAAAAAGAAGTGGGGGCTTGAATTCATTATGAGTCTATCTCCCTCTTAGTGGTATTTCTAACACGCTCATACCATGCCTTATAACCCTCATCCTTCCTGAGGAAGGTAATCCTCAGGTAGGCTTGCCATTCTGGGTTATAAGACAAGTTGATCTTCATATTCAAACCAGCTTCAGTTGCTGACCAGGTGGAAGTGAAAGAACATACTAGGACCTTAGCTCCAGGAATAGGAGACTTCAGGTCCAGCTGTAACTCTCTCCTGGGTTCTCACTGTATAGTGTCAGTAAAACCCCCTTCTTCTCATAAGAACTGGTGGGAGGACTGTTAGATAGTGCTGATGGCACAACTGTAAAACTGACTGGGGTGTCTCAGATAATCAAGACAGAGACTTATTTATTGTTTTTGTTTGTTTTTTAAAAGATTTATGTAGACAAAAGTTTTTGTCCTGCCCAGTCCCAACAAAACACATAGAGGCTTAGAAAAATAATAAACTGCTTGGCTTGTTAGCTCAGGCTTATTATGAACTAGCTCTTACATTTTAAATTAACCCATAATTCTTATTTATGTTTAGCCATGTGGCTTGGTACCTTACTCAGTGAGGCACTCTCATCTTGCTTCCTCTGCATCTGGCTGGTAACTGTAGACTGAGCCTTTCCTCTTCCCAGAATTCTCCTAGTCTGGTTGACCCCCCCTATATTTCCTGCCTGGCTACTGCCCAATCAGCACTTTATTAAACCAATATTAGTGATAAATCTTTGCAGGGTACAAGAGCATTATCCTATAACAGATTTATTTATTATTCATAAAGTGTTCTGCCTGCATATATGCCTGCATGCCAAAAGAGGACACCAGATCTCATTATAGATGGTTATGAGCCACCAGGTGGGTACTGGGAATTAAATTTAGGACCTCTGGAAGAGCAACCAGGGCTCTTAACTTCTGAGCCATCTCTCCAGCCTGTATTGTTTTGTTTTGAGACAGGGTCTCACACTAGTTCAGGTTAGCCTGGTACTTACTACATAGCCCAGGCAGGCCTCAGTCTCTTGAATGTTGGGATCTCAGGGGTGAACCACCACACTGAGGCTTTTTGTTGTTGTTTTTCAGTGCTGAGTATTGAGCCCAGGACTGTGCACATACAAGTTAAGGAAGTAGCATACCATTAAGCCACATGCCCAGTCCTTGGAGAAAGGGTCTTACATCCTTGCCCATTCTGGCCTCACACTCCCAGCAATCCTCCTGCCTAATTAGGGTTTACAGACAGGAGTTACCATGTCTAGCTTTCTTTTTAATTAATTAATTTTGGTAAAGCCATGGTCACTCTCTAAAATCAATCACCAATAAAGGAGATCAATAGGGGAATGTTTCCTCTGGGGACACTGTGGGTCAGAGTCCTGGGGAGACAAGTGGAGGGGTTTCCCTGATTTGAGGGGCATGGATTCTGAGACTGGATCAAAGAAGAGACTGTCCCCTCTCCTCGCAGGACTCCACTCCAGCTGCCACGCCGGAAGCAGCCCCAGCAATCTCTGCGGTGGTCCATGCCACAGACGAGGAGAAACTGGCCGTCACCAGCCAGAAGTGGACGTGTATGACAGTGGACTTGGATGCTGACAAACAGGACTTCCCACAGCCCTCGGATCTGTCTAACTTTGTAAATGAGACCAAATTCAATTCGCCCTCGGAGGGTAAGCAACTCGGTGGCCAGCCCGACCCACACCTTGCCTTGGAGAATACTGTCGCTAGGGGGCAGAGAGCCAGGAAAGATACTTGCCAGCCAGGTAACCATTACCGTGTGACAGCCTGTACTCCTCCTGCTGTATGCAAAGCTAAGGCTTGAGAGCTGCTGCCCCTTGACCACATGATGCCTGCTGAGAACCAGACTAATCCCCTCTAACCCAGATCCTGAAACCTCACTTGCTTGTTCTTGGCTGATGACTTCTGATACCTTCTGTAGTTTTGAAAGACACAGCTCCAAAGGAACGTTGGTCGCATAGAACTTTGACTGTAGGTCAACCCGCCTGTGGGTCTTTTGGTGTCATCACTGTTCATATCCCCCACAGATTGGTCAGACAATATGGTCACACAGTTTAACCAAGCCTGGAGCCAGAGGTTTTCCCCAGGCTTGCTAATGAGGACTTGATTGATTTGGGAAGATCCCAAGCACTTGTATCTCAGTGTCTTCCTTTGTGCTGTGTATTCAGTTTCTGCTTCCTCTCTGGTTGTTTGACTTGAGTAATTCATCTATCTTAGGGCTGGGGTGTACTCAGTTGGTCATGTGCGTGCATGAAACTCCCCACTGTGTAAGTACGAGGTGTAAGTGGCACACACCTATAATCCCAGCAGTCTGGAAGATAGAAACAGGAGAACCAGAAGCTCACTCTCCCTTTCCCACCTTTGCCTGTCTCAACCTTTGCCTGGATATCCACTCCTTTCCCTGCTTGCCTTTAATGCTTGATTTGGGGGCTCTTAGCACCATGATGAAGATGTGTGTGCATTTCTTGTTCATTACTGGGCTGTTTGTTTACTGAAGGCAACAATTCTGATTCCTTTCCATGCCACACTAACTACTTTGAACATCGTAGGTGCTAAAGATGGGTTTGAGATAAAAGGAACGCAAGGCCAGGGTACATAAACAGCTGAGCATCGGCTCAGTCAGTTTGAACTATGCAGCAGCCATCACTGCATAAAGTGTAGGGACCAGAGAAGCCTAATGTCCCAGAAGCAGCGAGGACATTTGGACACAGGCATCTCACTTCCCACCTGATATCATTTCCAGTTCCCTGCTGGCCCACCTCTCTTGAGTCCAAAGCTAGATTAAAAACCAAACAAACAAATCTGAACACCAGAAAAAGCATATAGAAACAAGCTTGGGCTTGTACTGAGAATTAAACACATTTGATCTGGGAATGTGTGTGTTGACATGTGCTAACACAGTCACTAAACTTTCTGACAACTGTTTCTGCAAAAATCCAGCAAATAGGGAGGGCTTAGTGAGCTGACTTGGGGAGTAAAGGTGCTTACTGTGCCAGTGTGAGACCCTGAGGTTGAACCCCAAGAATCCCTGTCAAAAGCCTGACGTGTGCAGTACAGGGAGCTATGGGCAGGGACAGGAGACTCTCCAGAGGCTCCGTGGCCAGCTAGCCTGCCACATTTATCTGAAGAAACAAGACAAAACAAGAAAGCCCATCTCAGACAAGTGGAGGGCAAAGAATGGCAAGGTTGCCCTTTGACAGCTGTGCATGCACTGTGGTGTGCAAACACCCACATTCATACATGTAGACTATTCATACACACATATATACACACACACACACACACACAGAGAGAGAGAGAGAGAATTCTGAAAATAGGCATATGATAGTTTTAACTTCGAGACAAAACTCTGAAATCTGCCTCCTTAGGAAATGACAGTAAAGATTTGAATGTTGGAGAATCCACCCACCCACATGAAGACATTATGGCTTTAGGGGGCATTGGCTTTGCTATTACCACTTCTGTAACGCTCTGGATGGAGAAGCCTCTCGTTGGGTCTTCCCTCTTGTTCTCTTAGTAAGGACAAGTCCAGCACAGCAGACATCAGCGGGCGCTGATATGGTCCTCAGAGTGAGTCAGCTCAGGGCTGCAGCTGCAGGCGAGACTTCATCCCTCAGAAGTTACCACAGGAAAAGGAAGCGTTGGGTTGGACGTCATAATTACTATTTGAACACACATGCACAGCCGTGGTAATTCTATAGGAGAGGAGAGGAAAGTGGGGACTGTCATTTTGCATACAGGGCTTCATTTCCTCTGAGCTCTGTGCCAGATCCTGTAGTTCCCCACTTTAAGACAGGAAACAGAGGCTGCACACTGAGAAGGCCTGAGGTGATCTGCGTGGGCGCCTGCTTGGCTTCCTCTTTACATGGTGTTTGATGAGAGGAGACCAGGCTCCCTGCCCTCGTGTGCATGGGTGCTTACATGAGCTTCTCTGCATCATGTGTTTATGGGTGTCCTTAGAGTCCAGAGGACATTTGATCTAAAGAGCTGGAGTTTCTGGTGGTTGTGAGCCATTCTGTGCAGGTCCTGGGAACTGAATCCCGTCCTCTGGGAGAGCTGTGCCTATTCTTAACCCCTGAGCCATCTCTACCGCCCTGTACAATTGTTTTTAGACCCACAAATCTGCATAGTCACTTGGCCTCGCTACACACAACTGCATCTGCCCCTTCTGCCCACATCCAGCAGCGAGCAGGCTGTCTGCCTGGGTGGGCGCCCAAGGCTGTCTCATGACAGAGACTGAGAAGGGGGCAGGAGAAGGTGAGCGTAGTCTCCTCGTCCTCCTCCAGGGCTCTCTGTCCATCTCCCCTTAAACATCGCTTGGGTTTAAAGAGACATGTTAGGTTGAGCGACAGTAAGTCTGGCCGTCGTTCTTCGGAGTGTATGACCAACTGCAGGGCTTCCCGTCACACTCTCATGTCACCCAGGACAGGGTGGCGCCTCGAGTTTCGTTTTGTTGAATCAGCAGGCACAGAGCAGTTCAGTCCATTGCTCTTGGCTCTGTGATGCCACGGGATGAGATCATTCTCCCAAGTGGTCCTTGGATACAAGAGGATCCTTTAAACATAACTGTGGACCTCTTCAGTGTGAAGTAGCCCTATCCTTCAGTGCCTCAGCCCCCCCCCCCCCGAAGTTGTGAAGACAAGTGCTACTTGGTGCTAATGGTGGAACTGTTCCTAGCCTGCCACCTGCATGTGGCCTGGTGTGAGAGGGTGCTACCTGACTTTATCTGCGTGCCTGCTCTCAGGGGGTCAGAATTTAAAGCAGATGAGAAGTATTTATTCCTCCCTCCCTCCTCCCTTCCTCCCTCTCTCTACTAGGAATGGTACCTAGGGCGCTGTACATTCCAGTCAAGCGCTCCCACTGAAACGACATCCCCCCTCTTAATTTTTCCCACTTTTAGACAAAAGTCTCCTCATTATGTTGCCCAGGCTACCTTTGAACCTAACTCTATAACTCAGGCAGGCATTGAACCCACGTACTCTCCTTAATAACTGTGATCACAGGACCTCAAGAGAGATCCCTAAAACCTCAAAGACATCAGATCTCAGCCCCGAAACTACCAGTAGAACTGAGGGAAATGACCAGCTGATGAAGCAACCCTGGAGAAGTGTTGCCTGTCCTGGGGGTACTAAATTCACAGAGAGGGACGGGTGCAATACAGTTCCAAGATGTCACTGTGCTCTGTCATCTCCTATGTGTGCAGCCCTTGAGAGTTAGGGAAAAAACATTCCCCCAAACTCCTATCCCCTCCAGTCTGAACACAATAGAAGTGCATGGGTCCCCCATTGCAGACCTGTGTGTTGTGGACACGTGGCTTCATTTCCTTGGGGCTCATTCATATTCCTAAGGGCAATAGCTCCCACCAGGAGGATGCTCACAGACTGACTGATGATAGCTGAGCTGTGTCTCGCGGGGGGCTGGGTCCCCCGAAACTCAGCACACCCCCTGCCAGGTCCTTCAGTCGCCCTGGTACTCATCTCGCCGTTTCGTTTGCAGAACTGGACTACAGAAACTCCTATGAAATCGAATACATGGAAAAGCTTGGCTCCTCCTTACCCGTGAGTTCCTCCTCTACCCTGGCCTAGCAGCTTCTGTGGGGTTTCCAGCGAGGCTGCACAGGGTCCTTCAGACTTGTCCCATTACATAGGAACGCCAGTCCCCGTTCCTAGACTCATCGCCCCAGGTCTTGGGACTCTAGTCTGACCACCCTACCGGTAACTCTTGCTCCCTTTGAGCCGCACATTGATTGTATAGTCTGCGCCCAGATCCACCTGCGCTCTCCTCTTGGTCTTGATCATGGATGGGCTCTCAGGTTCTGAGGCCGCCGCAGCCCCCATAGCCTCTGTTCATGACCCTCCTGACCAGCCAAGAAGAATGACTCTTTGTCGTTTGTGGCCAAGCCCATTGCCTTGTCTCTTTGAGGTCTGTCTTAGTTGCTTTTCTGCTGCTTTGATGGAACACCACGAGCAATTTGGGCTTATGGTTCCAGAGGAGTAAGAGTCCGCACTAGCAGAGCCGAGGCACGTCTTGAACCACAAGCAAGAGGATATAGGAGTTTAAACTCTTAGAGCCCGCCTCCAGTAACACAGCTTCCTCCAGCAAGGCCACACCTCCTAAACCTTCCAAACACAAATCATGTGGAGGCCAAGGATTTAAGTGCCCATGACTATGGGGGACATCTCATTCAGACCACCACAGGGCCTCAGTGGTGGCGCTCATCACTGGGGTCAGCATGCTGTCATCCCCCACTCCTTTGTGAGGACTGAGAGCGTGGCTGGGTAACTCTGCATCCTCAACACTGCTGGGAGAGGGCACATAGCAGCACCAGCGGGCTATTCCCACCTTAGATCTCCACAGGTCCCACTCTCCCAACCTCCTGGCCCTCTCCTGGTTACTTCCTGCTTTCTTCTCTCTTCCGGGAGTGAGAGAAAACTGAAGGCTTGCTTGTTTCTTGTCAGTGAGTGCTCTCTTCACTTGGGTGGCATTCTTAGGCCACTGTGCCCAGCTAATGGACGTGTGACTTTGCTTCTTGCAGCAGGAAGATGACACTCCGAAGAAGCAGGCTTTGTACCTTATGTTTGACACTTCGCAGGAGAGCCCCGTCAAGTCTCCTCCGGTCCGGATGTCGGATTCCCCAACTCCATGTTCGGGGTATGACTTCTATGATGAGAGAGTTGTGGCTTAGGCCAGAGGCCCCCAAGTCCTTGTCTCTCTTCCCACTGTTAGTCTGACTTTATTCCATTGCATGTCTGCAGGTAGCCCCTAACTTGGTCTGTCCACAAGGGCACAGATGCATTGCTGCTATTTCTGAGGGCCCTTTGAATGAAGGTGAAGCGGCTGACTGGCAGTACCCTCTAGTAGACAGACAGACAGACACACACACACAATGTTCATATATTCAACTCCACTTGGTCATCTATCCAATATTTCTACAATATTCCAATATTGCTACAACACTGAAAACTTAAGTCCCAGCTCTGTATCTGGTGGGAGTTTCTTGGGTGTCCTATGCCTCAGTTTCCCTGTGTAAAGTGAGGGGAATAAAGTGACCTCTAGGGATTTGGGGAGATTAAAAAGGACTGTCTGTCCCCAGGGCGGTTAAGTGGCAGGCATAAGGAGAACCTGGCTTCCAGGAGCCTGATGTATGGAGAGCTGGTATCAGAGTGCCTAGCATATGTACCGTGCATGGCAGACATTTCTTATTGACACGGATATTAATGTTTGCCTGTGCCAGTGTCCACATTCTGAATGGCATAACCTTTGATTGGGAAAATATACGGCATTGCTCCATTATTTAGGTCATCCCATCCATCCCTGGATGCTTGCTCTGTGCTGAGCAGGACTGGAAGCTCATGCTTTGGTCTCTCAGACTTACTGTGGGCCTCGCACACCCAACTCTGTCCAGATGGCAGGTGTTAGGACAGTGATGCCATCTCTCCAGGAGTGGCCCCGTGTGGCAGGCACTGTATGGAATGCTTTGTATTCATGTAGCATCTGACTTTATCTTCTCAAAGGTGCCTGTCTCCATTTTCTAAAGAAGGAAAGCGGGAGGGATACCCAGCCTCCTTCCAACAGAACACACAAGTGGCTGGTCCCTAAACTCCAGAGCTCAGTCCCCATGCCAAAGGCATCTATATTGTGTCCTTCCCTTGTCAGTTGGCCCTTAAACATGGCTGGACCATAGCCTGCCTCTAGGTGGATGGCTACTGAGGTCCAGGCCTTTGTCTTTCCTTGGACATAGACTTGGAAGGGACGATTTTGTGGGATGTTGAGAGCTTCCTAAGAGACTTCTGTGAGTCTCCAAGGAGACGATTCTAATGACTGACTTCTTTTCCTCAGGTCAAGTTTTGAGGAGACTGAAGCCCTTGTGAACGCTGCAACAAAACTCCAGCATCCTGTCACACGAGGCCTGGTCTCCAACCAGGAGCCTCTCTTGCAGGTGCCAGAGAAATCCTCCCAGAAGGAGCTGGAAGCCATGGCCTTGGGCACCCCCACAGAGGCCATTGAGATTGTAAGTGTTGCCTGAGGGGCTCTGTGGCTCCACCCTCTGATGAGGTCACTCCTCACTTGGTTGTGGGCCCTACTCTGACTCTGGACCACAGTGGTCAGTCAGCCTGTGAGACCCTGCATTCACAGCGAGGGAAAGGCCTTCATTTTTTCCCATGGTGGCCGTGCGGTTCTCAGTCAACTGCTTTATTTTGCTCAGGTGTATTTTCCATTTTTCCTCCTTGGAACTTGTCTGACAGACAAGCTGAAGCTGTGCTCAGCCTCTCTAGCTTGTATAGAAAAACAAGGAAGGGTAGAGGAAGGATCATCCTCCTTTGGGGATCAGCTGCGTGTATCCTGGGCGAATTTCTCTTGCTCATGGTCCGGGACTTCAGTGTCTCCTCGTCCAAACCCTCCTGAAGCCTTGCAGGACCTGGGCCCTGAGATGAGGCCTCATTGTCCCCAGTCCCTGCATGTTACGTGTGCTCTCCCTAGAGTGTGTAATATCCGTGTGAGAGTCTTCCACGTGTCTTAAACAAACCAAGCTGGCTCGATTATATTTTTTTTTTCTTTTGCCTTCCTCCTAGCAATCTTCATGCAAGTTTGAAACTGTTCGATTTGGTGCATTGTTCTATATTAGGCAATTTGATCTGTCTCATGCTACAGACATTCCCAGAGCACCTCCTATGCCTATGGCAGTTGAACGCTGGGTTGAATACTGGAAACACAATTAGTGAACAGCTAAAGGGTCTAGATGTGAATCGATCTCGCATATATATCCTGTGGCAGACTTGGCCGTGGTTCATCCCCTGCAAAGTTGCCCTCCTATTTGGAAGTTTTTCTAATCTACGTGGAGTTACCTTTTTGTTTGAAATCATCTTTTCACTACTAAAAATGGCCTTTTCCTCAAACTTTACTTTCTTTGATATTTATCCTTGGTGCTATTTCTTTGATGAACCTATGTTGGCATTGGAAAACCCGTCAACTAGTTTGCCCCCCACTCGTGGAGATTTTCAGATTAAAAAAAAAAAGCAATGGTTATGCGACTTCCACTGCTCTGACTCGGACACAAGGTGACTTTGACCAGGGGAGGGCTCCTGAGGCTCAGCTTTTGGGAGGAGGAGCGGGGCCTGCCAGTCTCAGTCCAAATGGCAATCTGAGTATTGGCCACTAATTGATGTTCTCTTTAGCTTTAATGCAGCAATGCGCAGTGTGTGGGTGTGTGGTCCTTGCTTGAAATCAATATCTTTCTACTCTCCTCTATTTTCCATCTTCCTCTCCGCCGGCCTTCAGACAGCTCCGGAGGGTGCCTTTGCGTCTGCAGATGCCCTCCTCAGCAGGCTGGCCCATCCTGCCTCTCTCTGTGGTGCACTTGACTATCTGGAGCCTGACTTAGCAGAAAAGAACCCCCCAGTATTTGCTCAGAAACTTCAGGTTTGTAGCCCGTATGTGACCTTTTGGGAGTTTGTCTAAACCTCAGTAGAAAATGAACCCCCAAGCCAAATTCTGAGCTGAGGCAGAACTTAATGAGGCGGTACTGGGAATGTCCTGTTGAAGTATTTCATCTCAGACACTGGTATATGTGTGTGTTAGAGCCGGGATGCCAGAATTCTACACATTGTGTGATTACGTACTGAACGTACTGTTTCTATTTCTATTGTGAAATTGGCCCCAATAGTCATTTCTCTGATGTATTGATAGCCCCACAGGCCGTGTTTATGATTTATTCACTACACCAAAGGTATCAGGTCAGGCCAAGCTGTCTAAATACATAAGACAATCCCAGATTCCCATTGAGACAACATCTGGACTCCATCTTATTTCTGGAATACAAAATAATTATCTCTATTGCGGAAATTTAACAGCTTAATTTGCAATCCCCTTGGCCTAGGAAGTGAGGCCAACCTAGAGAGATTGTTAGTAGGCCTCTTGAGAGATGCCTGGCTGTTGACAGCAAGTGCTGGTCAACGTTTAAAAAAAACAAAAGGAAAGAAATCAAAAACTGGCGTAGAGTAAAAACTGCCATCCTGTTTGGAAAATCGGTTTACATCCGACTGCATGGTTTTTCTTGACACACCTTCAAAGGGGTGGGGTTTTGTTGTTGGTGGTTTTTTTTTTTTCCCCAAAAAGGAAATGAAACCCCTGTTTCATGATCTGCTGAGGTGCTGGTTGTGAGAGAAAGCTGAGCGTATGTTTTCCCACGATCGCTGTCATATGCATTTATGTGGCACATTCATTCCTGGATGTGGAAAACCTTCTGTCTGTCTTGATGCCTTTCCCTATGGTCTGCTCACCCCCTACCCCTCGGGCAGGAGGAGTTAGAGTTTGCCATCATGCGAATAGAAGCCCTGAAGCTGGCCAGGCAGATCGCCCTGGCTTCCCGCAGCCGCCAGGACGCCAAGGTATCCGTTTGCCGCTGCAGTGCACTGCCTTCTGGGAATGCTGTGTGTGCCGCCAGGTCCCAGGGCTGCTTTGCTAACCACTGGCCAGGCGGGCATTGTGGGTGTCCCGTGGAGTGTGATTTCTCTGAAGTGTGACTCTTGCGCAAACACACCCTGAGCTTGTGTGTGGAGCTGAGGGAGTGCAGCCGGGCAGAGGAGAGTGGGAGAAGCCCCTAGAGAGCACAGAGAATAAAAAAGGCTTTGAGCACGTTACATGGCAGGCTAGTTATATGTAAAACTGGTTAGTTCACCAGGACCGGAAGAGAATCCCCCTCGACATTCGATGCCCTTTGTCTCTGTGGGATAATTTGTAACTTTCCTGTCTTCTGGAAGTTTCTATCTAACTTTACTAAGAGGTGATAAGTAGGAAGTGAGAGCAAGACTTGCTCCAGACATTGAATGGAGAACAAAGAGACGCAGTTCTTTGACATCTCGGGCTGCGGGGCACACCCTCTCCACAGAGGCTCCTCCCCGTCACTCTGTTGCTAATACAGAATGGCAGCACGCAGAGAAGCCGCCTATCCCAGGAAGATGCTTTTTATGTTTCTTCACAGAAGGGGTAGCAGGCTGTTTGGTTTGCAGACCTGAGCATGCCAGCCCTTGATTTTTGTGTGGAATGTGACGTTGATGAAACATTCAGGGTCTTCCCTCTGCTTCTAGACCTAGGGTAATCATTCCTAGCAGTACGGTGATGACATGTAGGTGGCATCTCACCCTCAAGCTGCCAGTGAACTGTGACCTCAGTCCCACTCTCTGCCCACCCTGAGTTTGACCAGCCCGGTGAATTTGATGTTGGACCAGAGCAGAATCCCTCTTTGTTCTGTAGTTTGAGCCTTGAATGAGTTAGTGAACCTTGTTGAGCCTCAGTTTTCCGGTCTCTGAGATGAGGCTGGTTTGCCTGTGGTGGGGAAGACCAGGTTTGTGGACGGTAGCCTTGCACCTGCACATCCAACATGCTGGTGTGCCGTTAGCAAAAGGGGCTGCTATGAGCTAGCACTTGGCTTCTGTTTGCCGTTCAGATCTTCCACAGCGCTTCTCCTGGGAGAGCAGAGCTAAGTCTGATTGAGAATCGGGGCCGCATGTCCAGAGTTCGCCAGCCTGTGGGGGCCAGAACCGGGGTCACCAATGGACCGGCTTGTTCATCTCTATCTCGTAGAGCAGATCATTTGTGAGGCTCTCCCAACTGTGGAATAGGAACAGAAATCCCAAGTGCCTACACATAGATCTCCCTAGCTAGAGCCCTAATTGGGTCCCCTCCTGGAGACTGGAGGTGGTCATAGTGTGGATGTCCAGACTGGGAACAGTGGAACACAGGGCAGGGACAAGAAACAAAACTCAGAGGCGTCTTTGTTCTTGTTGCCAAAGTATAAACTTGAGCTGAACTGCCATGGAAGGGAGATTTTCAGAAAGCAAGCGCCAAGGACCCTGCTCCCCACCAGCCCACAACCCAGCCCTGCCAGATTTATTTCTTGATCTTTGCAGAATAACTTTAGGATAAAGTGAATTGCCTAAAGTTTGGCTGCTGTGGGGGCTGGAGAGATGGCTCAGAGGTTGCAAGCATTAACAGTTCTTCCAGACGACCCGGGGTTCAATTTCCAGCATCCACAGGGCAGCTCACAACTGTTTGTAACTCCAAGATCTGACACCCTCACAGAGACACACATGCAGGCAAAACACCAATACACATAAAATAAAAATAAATAAATTTAAAAAAAGTTTGACCATTGTACATACGGTGTATGCCCCGGAGAATATTAAAGTAGAATTGGACATATTCTGATAAGTAGTTCCGGCCAAGTACAAAACCTTCTAGAAGGAGAGTACCCTGCCTCCTACGAAGATGCCAGAGCTGGCTTTCAGAAGCTAAGAGCTGACGTCCTGTCTCTGGCAGCCTCAGAACGTGTGTTCTGGTTTTGCTTTAGATGGCACCGCCACACAGACTGCAGGCTGAGAGGAAGAAAGCCCTTTCCACCCTGCTGTCCTTCAGAAGTGAGAGCTGGCGCCACCTTGGGGGCGGGGACATTTCCTATAATAATATGTATCACTTTTGGAAAACACCTGGAGATCACAGAACATGGAAAATAGATGCTCTGACTGGAACCAGCCAGCCCCCTGGGGGATCTGTTGACCTCACTCTGGGGATTTCCCTTGTGACCTTCTTTCCGGTGTCTGCTTGGTGGCCCCTCTCTGCCCTGGAGTCTCAGACATGGGTGATGAAGTCCCATTTTCCTGGCACACCTCTCTAAACCATTACTCACTCTGAGTTCGAGGCCAGCCTGGTCTGCAGAGCAAGTTCCAGGACACCCACGGCAACACAGAGAAACCCTGTCTCGAAAAACAAAACAAACAAAAGACACCCACCCACCCCCCCCAAAAAAAATCATGGATCACAAAAAATGGAATCACTTAGGAGGAAGGGCATAATTTCGAGGGGATGAAAATTGAGAGCATCTTTGAGGTAGATGGTGCTGGGTCAGCCTCCATAGAACTGCAGCGAGCAGTCTATGTCCTGCTCAGAATCAGTGAGAAACGGGGTAATGTCCCTAGGAGCTGGGGATGGTGTCGGGCCGTGGCTTGCTTTCTTTTTACTTTTTATTATTTTAAAAATATTCTTTGAGAATGTCACACATGCATACAATGTATTTTGAATATGTTTGCCCTTCCAGCGCCTCCTGGATTGCCTCTCTCCCCTTCTCAAAGTCATGTTCACACACCCCGTCCTACTTTATGATTGAAAAAAAAAAATTATTTTCACACAGTAACTCCCCCTCCCACTTTCTCAGGGCTGTGGTTTTCTTATTCTGTTTCTCCCACTTGTGTCTATTAGTCTTCCAAGGAATGAGTCTGAGTAGTAAGCCCTCTCAGTACGTAATGCAGCAGCCCTGAGTTCAATGCCCAGCAAGTCCTGTCTCTGGCCTTCCAAGGTATGGGTAGGCAGGCATACTAGCAAATTTTGCATGCATGACAAACTGATTATAAGCTCTAGACCAGTTGGCCTGGATAAGGGGGCCAAGATGGAGTTGGAAGACGGAAAGATGTGTTCAGGCAACTTAGGAACATGATCATCCAAACGGCAAGCTTTAGATTGGGAACAGTCCCCACACGGAGGGCGTGGCTTAGGTGAGCAGGTGCCTAGGGTTGATAGGAGCTGGAGCAAGAGTGGGGCGTGTATTGTTGTCAAGGATACCAGCATCATTCACGGGCATCTCATCTCACAGAAGTCACTCCTTCCTCCACCATTCGATGCTTAGTCCAAAGTTGGGACACATCCCGGGAAGCCACAAAATAGTCCAAAGAAGACAGAGGACTAGTCGAGGGGCTTTGGTTTGCTCTCCATCTTCAGAATCTGTGGTTGGAGCCTGTACTTTAGCCTGGGGGGCTGAGTCGTGACGTGATGGGCAGGCACAGCTACGTGGTATCTAGTGATGATGCCTTCCACGAAGCGGGACTGAAGTGTGTGGCCAAGTCTTCAAGGGTCTCATCTGGGCTTGCAACGCCTGCACTTGGAAACCGCCTGCTGTCTGATTTGGATGCCTAACATCCGGCCGAGGTCCTTCTCCTGCTTGGATGGTGCCGCATGGCCCAGATACCTCCTTGAGACCTCAAGTCTTAGCTTGGCTTTCCTGGTGCCTGACTTCACCTATGTGGCCCTGAAGTCTCAGACCCGAGCTTGCCTCCTGCTCCTCTGGGGACAGTGCCATGATGACGATGTCCTGCCCCCAAACCCTAAGGCAAGGACCATAGGCCTGAGCGTGTGGCACAGGAATCTGAAAGGGAGATAGTGGCCTGAGGAACTTCACCGTTTCCAGCACTCAAGGCAGCATAGAGGGTTGAAGGTGGTAGTGAAGATCTGTGCCTTTGGAACTGCTGGCGTTTGGGGCTGCGTGAAGCAGCAGGTCTAACTGCGAGAGAAACGGCGCTGGGTATAAAAATAACTGATCCTAAAATATTAGCGAGAGGCAAACCTTTACTTTCACTTGGAAACATGTGTGGCTTGAAAGGAAGACCCGAGGTGTGGGTCCTGGAGTTCATCATCCCACAGATAACTGGAGGAGGCGGGGAGTCGAGGTGGTCCCGAAACTGTTCACTCCCTGCTTGAAGAGGCCGAGTGGTTGTGGATGAAGGGTGGCGCCTGGGTTCTGACTCCTGCACCCGTTTAGAAATCTGTTTATTTGTTCACCCCTTCCTTGTTTTACAAAGGACATCAGGCATGTTGACCGTCTCTAATGTGCCCCTTGGTCATATTTAGCTCCTGCCCTGTGTGATATGAAATTCATTTTCATTATTTAATTCTTTTTCTCTTGCACTGCTAGGAGCTGCTTTGCTCTGAGGTAGAATTGAATCTCATTTGGAAAAATCTTTAGGCCCAGCCTCTCACATCTGTCTTCAGAAGTTCCAGACTGAGTTTAACAGCTCCAACATCCTATTCACTTTGAAATTTTATTTATTTTTTTCTCAGATTTTAAAAAATGTACTTTATGGGTTTTTCATCTGCCTGATTGTATGTGCACCATGTGTATACCTAGTGCCCATAGAGGCCAGAAGAGGGTGTCAAATCCTCTGGGATTGGAATTACAAAGTGAACCAACATACGGGTGCTGGGAATTGAACCTGAATCCTCTGGAAGAGCAGCTAGTGCTCTTTACCACTGAGCCATCTCTTTAGCCTCCTCCTAGCTCCATTTTTTTAAAGAGCACATTTAAAAGTGAAGAGAATAGAGTTTGTTTTTTCTTTTCAAGTTCTCTGTATAATCTTGTGTTTGTGAGCTTTCTAACTGCAATTACTGAGTGGTGGTTTTGGGCTGTGCTTTTCTGGTTACTACTGGGACGTTTCCCTCAGTGAAGCAGCATCTTTCCAAGAACAGAGCTAAACCCTTCACGCAGAGCCTCTGCCCTGCCGCCAGGGGCTGGTAGCTTGTGCTCTAGGTAGATGTCCTAGAAACAGACTTCTGTGGGGCCAGAAACTGAGAAAGGCATTTGTGGCATCCCATCTGACATGTGAACGGAATCTGTTCTGGTTGACCAGGTCTGTGTGCTAGCTCTGACGGCTGATCATGTGACTCACTTGACCGTGAGTCCAGGGATTTCAGGACAGTCATGAGCAGTGAGAATCAGGTGGTCCGTGAGTGCCATTTGAGGATAAGCCCAAAGTCTTGAGGGTAGGGCGGGTCAGTGAGTCACTTGAGGGTTAGCTCAAGATCTCCAGGGCAGGCAGGGATGATGAGCAGGCCCAGCAGGTGTTTTTCCAGGATAACTAAACTGTTGTGTGCACCTTGCATGTGAACACTAATGGTTCTAAATTGTCACCTCCAGTCCTATCCATTGCTCTTCTACCTGCCTTTTCTATCTCCCTTTTTAGGCCCTTAGCCCTGGTACTCTAGTGAGGAGCGGTAGGGCTAGCAATTCCTGTGTTTATGAGCATTCTGCCGCTGGACCTTCAGCTCCACCCCTTCCCATGCCCACTGAAGTGCTCGTCTTCTCTGTGCACTTCAGCCCTCACCCTCCTGTCTCCTCGCCCCTGTCTATAAAACTGAGGTGTTATGTTTAGTGCTCAGTTCTTCCTCCCGGTTCTCCAAGGATGGAGCTGTCCCGCTCTGCCCATTAGGCCACCTTCGCCTCCCATTGCAACACTGATCTGTATTGTAACAAGGGCGGAAGCTTCAGGAGCCATGCCAGCACCAGGAGGTTAATGCATAGGACTGAGTGGTTGATTGGATGTTTTTGTTGCGTGGAGATAGGCTGAGAAGCCTGGCCATGCTGGTTGACAATGCTCCTAACACTGTGTTGCAACTTGGTTAATGTTCTACATAAAGGAAGAATAGCCATGTACCCCTTTTTATCAATTGGGTGGTGGGGTAGGGCATCGATCACATTGTTTGCTGTAGACTTCGTTAGGAAACACAGATAGATATTGTCGTTGACCCCAGCTTTCCCCTTCGCCGTTATAGAGCAGACCTAATGGCAGCATCTCCCAAACCCAGACAAAACTGATACACTAGTAGGCTTCAAATTTTGGGCAGATAACATCTTTGTAAACTGAGCCATATGAAAACCAAATTTAAATGTGGGCAGGTCACAAAAATGATCTAATCTTCAGCTATTCAAAACCAGGCAATATGGACCAGCAGCATTCAGAATCAGTCTCCAGCAAGACTTTATTTTGGAAGTGGGGCCCACAGAACAATGGCTGGTCTTTGCTTACAGTGCCTAGTTGGCTCGGCATCTGATAAATGGTTGCGATAAGCAGACCACAGACAGACTGAGCCCCCAGGGCTCCTAGTTACAGAGGCTGCCATCTCATTAGCCCCGTTGTGTGCCTGCATATGTGCAACATGAAGGCTTTCCATCCCCTGGGCCTGGCATTACCCCCATCCGTGAGTCTTTGCATTTTCTCATGCCTCCAACGCCCTTTGTTTCAAAACCATACAGCCGAGCGGTTGCGTGCGTGCAACCCTGTCTGTCGTGCCGTTAGTGGTGACTGTCCTGTTTCTTTCTCTCTTTAATGAAAACCAAAACCACCCACAGAGGGAAGCTGCTCACCCACCGGATGTCTCCATCTCCAAAACTGCCTTGTACTCTCGCATCGGGCCCACCGAGGTGGAAAAACCTCCGGGCCTTCTGTTCCAGCAGCCAGACCTGGACTCTGCACTCCAAGTTGCCAGAGCAGAGGTATGAGACTGGTGGTGTCAAGGGCCATCCATATTCTTTTTTTTTTTTTTTTTTTATGTATACAGTGTTCTGTCTTCATATATGCTTACTCGCCAGAGAGGGCACCAGATCTCATTACAGATGGCTGTGAGCCGCCACGTGGTTGCTGGGAATTGAACTCAGGACCTCAGGAAGAGCAGTCAGTGCCCTTAACCTCTGAGCCATCTCTCCAGCCCCCGCCATCCATATTCTTGACGCTGGGACAGGGCCTGAGTCTACTATCTGTCAATAGCTGTATTTACCCATGAAGCTGCCCTTTGGAGACAGACCGTCCTCTAAACACCGCAAGCTGGCTAGGTAGCACACGTGGGTTCCGGTCTGCCTGGTTACCATGCTAACAGGTGCTGTAAACGATACCTCATCATGGTACCCCGTCCCCGTGGTCCTTAGGTAATCTTTATTTCTCCTGCTTGGAGAATTCCCTGGATGGAATCTTGGATCTATGTGAGATATTTTCATCCCGTGTGTGTATGATGTGTCCTGGATTTGGTCGGAACTGAATACGCTCATCTGGGCTCTGCCTGTCTTCTCTCCCTGATCTTAGGTTATCTCCAAGGAGAGAGAAGTCTCCGAGTGGAGGGACAAATATGAAGAAAGCAGGCGGGAAGTGATGGAAATGAGGTCAGTGGAGCGCAACTTCCTGCTGTGACTTCATGATAATTAATGCTGAGGTGTCCCCACCTCCGGCAGGGTCTCCTATAGAAGAATCTAATTTTTTGTTATTATTCAAGGCTCATATTTTCACATGGGAGTTTTTAAGAGATTTTCTTTTAATTATTTTATTTTATTTTATTTTATTGAGACTGGGTTTCTCTGTGTAGGCCTGGCTGTCCTGGAACTCACTCTGTAGATCAGGCTGGCCTTGAAGTCACAGAGATCTGCCTACCTCTGCCTCCCAAGTGCTGGGATTAAAGGTGTTCACCGCCGATGCCCAACTCATTATTCATAATTATGTGTATCTCTGTGTGGTGTTTGTGCCTATGAATACAGATGCCCTTGGAAGCAGAGGAATCAAATCCCTCCCCAAAGTTGGCGCATAGCTGAGAACTACCCGATATGGGTTCTAGAAACTGAACTTGGCTCTTCTGGAGTAACATAAGCTCCTAACTGCTGAGCTGTCTCTTTAGCTTCTACACATGTTTTTAGAATAACACTGTTCATGAGATAAAGAATCCAGTCAGATAAGTGTGTAGACAGTGAAAGTGTCTCCCCTGATTCCAGTCAGCTTGCGTTCCTGTGTACCTTTCCAGCAGCAAGCAAAACACACAGAGCAGTGGTTCTCAGCCTTCCTAAAGCTGCAGCCCTTCAATACAGCGCCTCATGTGGTGCTGACCCCAACCGTAAAGTTATTTCATTGCTACTTCATAACTGTAATTTTGCTACTGTTGTGAATAGTAATAAATATCTGATACACGAACCCCAAACAGGTGGTGACTCACAGATTGAGAACCACTAACCTGGATGATCACAGCCTGTTTCCAGGTCATCATCACATCTTCCTGAAACCTCATTCTAACTCTAGTTCTTCCCGCTGCTTCCTGCTGCTTCCTGCTGCTTCCTGCTGCTTCTCAGTACTTCCCGCTGCTTCCCGGTACTTCCCGCTGCTTCCCAGTACTTCCCACTGCTTCCTGCTGCTTCCCAGTACTTCCTGCAGCTTCCCAGTACTTCCCGCTGCTTCCCAGTACTTCCCGCTGCTTCCTGCAGCTTCCCAGTACTTCCTGCTGTTTTCTACTTCCCAGTACTTCCTAGTACTTCCCACTCCTTCCCGGTACTTCCCACTGTTTCCTGTTACTTCCCGGTACTTCTTCCCACTCTCCCACTCTCCCCCCTGCTTCCTGCTTCCACTTTCCTGATGACTAGATTGACCAGGTGAACCCTGTGTCCTCAGAGGACTGTTCTTGCAGAGGGCTGCTTTCGCCTCCTCACTATTCATCCGGGGAAGTTGCCAGGCGTGGTGGCTCACACTTTTAATCCCAGCACTTGGAAGGCAGAGGCAAGCAGATATCTGTGCGTTCAGGGTCAGCCTGATCCATATGCGTTCCAGGCCAGCCAGCGTTATAGTGCAGATCCGTCTCACCAATCCACCTTTCAAAAAAAATTATTATTATTATTTTTAATTTAAAAACACAAGGGAATAACAAGTAGCATCATTTTTACTTTGGGGAGCACACGCACTCCATCAGAAGAGACAATACAGAGAGAATGTTAGGGAACTTCAAGAGGGAACACCCAGAGAAATCAGGAACAGCTTCCTGAAGAGGAAAACATTTGAATTAGACCCTGAGAAACAGATTCTGTGTGGCTGAAATAGAAGAAGGAAGTAGACAACCTGGGCTACACTTGACCTGAGATCAAGGAAGAGCTTGTCTGTCCATGTTAAGCCACTGTCCGTGAGCTGCCTAGAAGGTGATCAAGCTGGTGGAGGCAGTGAGACCTGGGTGTTGAAGGCTCCAGTCATGAGGTGGAAGGTGGGGCCTTTGTTCCACTTAGTGGGCCGTGGAGATGCTGCAGGGCTTGAGCAGTGTGCTGGATTGAGGGCTGTGTGCCAGGAGAGCAAACCTGATGAGTGAAAGGAAGAGTACAGAGGGTGCGAGCCTTACCTGTGGGGTGGAGATCGGCACCGTCCCGTTACCACAGCTCAGCGTGCCTCTGCCTTTCTTCCAGGAAAATCGTGGCTGAATATGAGAAGACCATCGCACAGATGATCGGTGGGTGTCGGGACCGGGGTGATCAGGCCCAACTGTGGGGAGCGGGGAGGACAGTGGGGGTGGGGATTGGGTGGTGCAAGGCTCAGGGCCAGCTCCTCTAAAAGCAGCTGTACTTATGACTGTACCCTGAAGATACCCACAAAAATGGGCTTCATGCTACCCAGTGTCTCCGTAGCCCTCACTTGCCCAGCCGGGGTACTCTACCATGTCAGGACAGAGTCTCAGTTTGGCCCCTGGGATGGGTGGAAGTTTTGGATTTTGCTTGCAGAAAAGCATAGAATTAAAACCCCTAAACCCTAACTTAGCTTAGAATCAAATGATTAAATATCCATATACATTAACTAACGGATTTAGGGCTAGAATGGAACCTGTGGCAACTCCCTACCCAATACCCTTCCTCTGTGGCTGGCGAACCCTGTTAGCCAATCCCAGCTCTCGCTGAGATAGGACACCTCCATCAGAACACTGCATCCCTGGCAGCCAGAGCTGACAGATGCTTAGGTCTGCAAAGAAAGAAAGACCCCCATTAGCAAGTGATACACAATGACTGAGTTTGCTTTCTTTCTCCTTCCCTCCCTCCCTTCCTCTTTCCTTCCTTCCTCCCCCCCTTCCTCCTTTCCTTCCTCCCCTTTTTCCTCCCTCCCTCCTTCCCTTTCTTCCACCCTTCCTCCTACCCTCTCTCTCTGTAATGAATATCTTGGAGACAATCCAAAGTCCAGTTTTTTTATAGTAATAGTCTTGGGGAACTGGTGTTCATGTTGATTTATGTCTAGCTATCTGTTTATTTGCTTAGATTCGTGATAATCCATTTTTTAAAATAATTTTACCCGCCTAAGGATTTATGGGGTAAACACTCAAATCACTGTCAACCCAGTGCTCATGCTGGACATGCATGGACAGGTCCCCTAGGAGAACCCCTAGCAAATGTTTGGCTTTCTGAGTTCCTTCTGTAACTTATTTCAAAATAAACAGCACAGTCATCCTTGAAGTACCAGGAAGGCCAGTGGCTGGGTGGCTCCCACTCTCAGGAGTGCAGCTGTGGCTCACATTAGTGAAGACTTCACCTGGAGCCCCGAGGCTCATGCAGCCCTGTCGATGTGGGTGCATTACATCAGAAGGAAATGTGTGAGCACATGGATGAGAGATAAACTCTGGGGTCTGCAAGTGCTGACAAAAGCACCAGAGAGGAAGCCTGTTTATCTCAGCGCTGAAAGGGTTATCAGACCCTTGGGGCGCGAGTGTCCTTGAGATGCAGGTGTGGTGTTGAGGAGCTTTGGCTCCTGAGGGAATGCTGCCACAGCCAGCTTGTTGCATGCAGCTGGGGACTTGGAGAGAAGCAGGAGTCCACCCTGGGGGACTACAAGCTTAAAGGGCTTCTCTGGCTGACCCCAGGGCAGTCTGCCTTTGTGGTAATAGGTTACTAGATGCCAGTGCCTGCTTCTTGGGTAAACTGCAGCTGTCAGAAGTTAGAACATTTCTGCCTTCGACAATCAGAGAAGTGGGTATCAGGGGCATGGTGTATTTCCTATTTAGACTCTAGAACAGTTTTCCCAAGAGAACCCTCAGAATGGCTCAAAGAGACTGCTGTCCACATCCCCAGCTTGGGAGCATCTTCACTTGGAGAACAGCCCTACTGTGTGTAGTCACTAGCTCTACTTGCCAGCCTCTTCCTCATCGACTTTCCAAAGCTTCTAGTCGGGAAACATTGTATGTCAGTTACTATGGAGGATCACTGGGTGAGACCACTAGATATTTCCGGGTCCACATAGACAGCCTGTGTGACGTGACTAGGAAGGTGAGTGGACCAGCTTGCAGTCTAGGAAAGCGAATGTCTTCACTTAAAGAAACACCCCCGGGTCTCATCTGGATCCCGTGTTTCCATCCTGTTTTCATTCCATCTGCCTAGCAAGGAGAACCCGGGCCTGAGAGCTCAGCAGTGTAGGGCCAGAGTGAATGTGGAAGTGTTCCGAAGTAGACCGCGGTTCCTCTGAGCCATGCTAAGCCCTCCCTCCTCATCCCGCCTCACCAGCTCCTCTGAAGAAAGTGTGCCTTGTTAAAAACTCAGTACTGGTGCCTTGGAATTTAGGACCAAAAGGAACCCCTGTGCTTTCTGCATTCCAGATTGTTGCGATTTTTTTGTTTCTGCTTTCCTAACAACTGCCCTGATTATCTGTTTTGCTTCCATTTTCTGTTGCTTCTTCCCCTTTGCTTGCAAAACAAGCAGGCAAGCCCGGTAAGTAAATGCTCCCCATCCCCACCCCGTCTGACCCCTACCCACCGCGACCCTTTGTGTTTTGTTTTTCTGGTTTGGTTATTTTTGCTTTGTTTACTCGCTGCATCCCCCATCCGATTTACTAGGGATTTGCCTGCAAATGCCAGAAAGCCGTAGCAGGGTTGTGAGTGCAGTGTGTCTTGGGCTGACCCTGATTTCCTGACTTTAAGAGCCTAGCTTCATTGGTCACGCAGAAGATTTGTGCTGCGTTGCCATTGCCTGGCTCTCCTGGGAACTGGGCAATTCTATTTTTAAAAGTGACAGAAGGAAAGCTGAGGTTAGGCGACATCTTAGATGCAGGAAATCGGATGGACTCTGATAAATGGCTCCTTCAGCCCATCTGGTGAAATGTATCCGTGACCACAGATCAGCTCAGAATGGACACTGTACGCCATGCTGGGAATAAAGGAAACAGCTAAAATCCGGACGGGAAAAGCTAGTGGCACTCGCAAATGCTCTCTTTTAGGAGTGTGGATGTAGCAAGTAGATCACTCGCGTTAGAAAGTTCTCTGTATTTAAAAGGCAGTGCTTCCCAGGTCATTGTGACACACTGTCCCACCGAGTCGGGGGTGATGTTTCTAGGGACAGGGATATGCTATTGATAACAGGTCACTGATTCCAGACAATTCCTGGGTGCCAAGATCTTTGTATTCCTTCTCTTTTTTAGTCTCCCCAAATGCATCTCCTGATTCTGGCTAGGAGACTCAGTGAGTTTGAAAACCCCACCCAAGGTCACACAGCAAAGAAGTATTAGAGTTGGGGTTCAAATCTGGTCTGTTAGATTCCAAAGCCACTTCCCTTGGTAGCTTCGGGCTGCTGCTGCAAATACTAAGAACCCTGGGGTGACTGGGGTGGGCTGGAGGAACGTTAGGCATCTCGTAGGCCAGTGGTTTTCCAGGCAGGGCCCTGGGCCAGCTACATCTGAGTCTCTTGTTACTTGTGCAGACTCCAGGCCCTGCTCTGACCTGCTGGGTCCAAAAGCAGTATGGACACGTCTGTTTGAATAGTCCTCCTGCTGGTGTTAATGCATGCTCGCATCTGACAGCCACCTTGATTTGTATGCAAGGCTTGGGAACCACAAAATAGCAGAGCTTTCCAACATGTTTCTGTCAGGCTTGGAGCTAAAATTCAGCCCGTGACCCTACCAATACACACAGCAGTGCTATGCCAAACTTAAGACACAGCAAGATGCTGACCTATCAGAAACGGAAGGGCAAATAGCTCAAATCTGCACTTGCTGGTCCGGGTGGGAACCGTCCAGGTCCATTGTTGCAGGAGGTTCAGGTGGAATTGAGTCATGGTTATGCTTTTGTCTTTGGATCTGAGCCTGGGCTATGCTGTGTCTCCGTGAACCGACACTGTTGTCCAAACCCTCTTTTCGCCTGCTGTAAGATGGAGACAAGAAAACCTTGTACAGGTCACTGTGCGGCTAGCCTTGTTTGTACCCCATGTGGATCATGTGGCGGCATCACTTGTATGGAGGGCTTTTGTGTGCTCCCACTGTCAGCGCCTGAGGAGAGTGGCCAGGTTACTTTCGGAGGCTGTGTTCCTTTGTCATTGCTTCTCCCAGACACCTGACAGGCAGGCTCAACTGAAGGGAAGATTTTGCTGTTTGCCTAACAGTTTCCGAACAATCCATCCATCGTGGTGGTGAGGGCATGCAGTTCATATTTTGGCAGACAGGAAGAAGCAAGGGCATGACCAGTCCTGGACTTAGCCTCCGTGACCTACTTCCCCCAGCCTTGCCCCCACCTCCTACTTTCTGCCACGTCTAACACCGCCACATCATGAATGCATTTGCAAGGTCAAGGTCCTCATGATCCAAGTGTCCTTCAGATTCATTCACAAGCACATCCAGCTGTGCTCATCTGTGTATTTCTCAGTCTGACCAACCTGCCAAAATTACCATTGTAAGAGGCAGCGGGAAGCCTTGTGTCCCAAGCCTGCAGTGGGGAAAGTTGGAGTATAACAGAACCAGAACCCACAAGAGGCCCAAGCACACATGCAGACACAGGCATGTCTTTTCACATGACAGATGGACAGGAAGTGGTGAGAAATCCGAGACCAGTGAATGGGGAACCCTTGGGAGTTTCCCAGGACTCCTGCGCTCCGGGGCAGTAGCTGCCTGAGGTAGTAGGGCTGTCAGGGCCAGAGTAGGCATGTGGAGTGCAGCCTAGGTTTTATTCTCGATCCAATAGGAGGTTTTTACAGACGGATTCTGAGCAGAGGGCGATAGCCTCACCTGCAGTTAGCGCCGGCAGCTGCTGCAGCTGTATAGCCAGCTCTCAGCCATTCCTGGGCAGTAGGTAGCACCCTCCCAGGTGACCTGGGAGTGACAAAGATCTGCTAGGCTGCCTGTTTTCTCCTGGGAGCTCTTGGTGCTGCGGGTGGAGGCTAGGGGGTGTCATAAAGTCAGCTGTCACCAGGAAAGTGAGGCGTGCCTTGCCTACTCTATCTGCACCCAGGCTAAAGGCTGGTACACAGGTTGGAAGCCGCATTCATGTCAGAGACGGTTTGTCCCATAGTGTAGAGACATCTGACGTCATTGTGGGGTGGCTGAGGGCCAGAGGGATGGGCGGGAACAGCTGTTGCTCAGGCTGGTACCAGTAACTGAACTGGACCCAAGTGGAACTGCTCTGCCTTGCTGAGAAATGAACTTTGCAGATACTGCTTTGGTTTGCCGAGAGTCCAGGCCTTGATACCATTTAGGGAGAGTTACCCCTAGGGTCCACCACAGCCCCTTCAATCATCTTCCCAGAAATACAGTTAGTAATGTGTTCTGTCTGACTCAGTGTGGATCGGCTTCGTGGAGGAAAAGTAGACTGGCAGGGTCTCCATTGTAGATGTGCAAGAGGCCACACTGAGCAGGTTAAAGATTGACTTTGACCTACCCCACACGATGTACCACAGCCCCAAGTCTTTGTTATCAGGTCTGTGAGTTTTGTCCCATTGGAACCCTCTGGGAGGGAGGGCTCCTTCCAAGGAAACACTTACATTGTGCTTGAGTAGACGTAGTTTGCACTGTCTGACTTCTGTCTCTCCTGCCAGAGGATGAACAGAGAGAGAAATCGGTCTCCCACCAAACTGTGCAGCAGCTGGTCCTCGAGAAGGAGCAAGCCCTGGCTGACCTGAACTCTGTGGAAAAGTCTCTGGCTGACCTCTTCAGGAGATACGAGAAGATGAAGGAGGTCCTGGAAGGCTTCCGCAAGGTAGGTCTGCCGAGCCAGGCAGAGTAGGGGTAGGGGTGGGGAAGCAACAACGGTTGAGGGTGCGAGGGGGTGGCAGGAGGGGTGAGAATCCAGGAAGCCCATCCTGAGCCAGGATGTGAACAGGACCTCTGCGGAGGTTTAAGGAGTCAGATTTGGCTGTTGGGGATGCTCTGGTGTGCCCCTCAGTGTTTCTTCTTGTGGCCCTGCCAATACCAGAATGAAGAGGTGCTGAAGAAATGCGCACAGGAGTATCTATCCCGAGTGAAGAAAGAAGAGCAGAGGTACCAGGCCCTGAAGGTGCACGCGGAGGAGAAGCTGGACAGGTAACTCACTATTCACGTAGGCCAGGCGCTCCAGCAGCACTCTGACATTGGCTGGCAAAGGGGTAGCTAATCGTTATGACTTGGGCTAAGCACTCATTCAACCACTGCCCGCTGAGATAAGCGAAGGATTCTGTTGTAATGTCGGGGGCACCCAAAGCTCTTACACATCATGACAAGGGTGGGATTCTTAGTGTGCCTATGTTTCAGGCTCTATTTAGCGGGGCTGGACTCAGACCTAGGTCTCTATTCGGACGTAGGAGGAGAGAGGGGTCCATGAAAAAAATCACCTACAGTGCTCCTTGTTCTAACAGGGCCAATGCAGAGATTGCCCAGGTTCGAGGCAAAGCCCAGCAAGAACAAGCAGCCTACCAGGCCAGCCTGCGGAAGGAGCAGCTGCGAGTGGACGCGTTAGAAAGGACGCTGGAGCAGAAGGTAAGAGGGTCCGGGTCAGGTACCCATAGCTGTGAGTCCACTCGCTGGCTCTTGCCAGTCTATCTGGTAATGAAGGCTGGGAAGTTGGGAGCAACCAAAGCAAAGCCAGAGCAGCTTCCATGTAAACTCATGCCTATGACCATACCTGTATTAGGTCCAGTTTTTTTTTTTTTTCCTTTCTGTAAACTCATGCCTATGACCATACCTGTATTAGGTCCAGTTTTTTTTTTTTTTTTTTTCCTTTCTGGGATGGCAGCCCATATGGTGTTTTTCCACGTCTCATTCTTCCACGGCATTGTGAAGTATTTGTCAAACACTGTTGGCAAGCCAGGCATTGCCCTATTGCCCTTGAATCTCTTCAACTATCATTCTTCCTAGGGAGTAGGTGAGGAGCCCACTAGTCCCCTGACAGGATGGGCAACAGCAGGGCCAGGCATGTTCAGATGTCCTCTGGGTGTGTGATCAGTGGGTGGGCCTCCTGAGGCCACTGTGCCTAGGTTTCCTGTTTTCCAGTGTTGGTGCTTAGCCTACTGGATGAGTTTCCCCAGATATCCCGGTGAAGACCTCTGCCATCCCAGGAACATTCCAGTTCCATGTGGTCCAAAGGGGGCAGGGTGTCTAGGTGAATTTCAGTAACCTTTGCCCTGGTAAGTACTGGCTCTGTCCTGCTAGGTGCTGTCAGAGAGAGAGCCTGGTGATGAAGTAGGCCAGCTGCTCGCACACTCCCACCAGCCGTACAACCTTGGCGAGCCTCGCTCGCCATCTCATTTCCTTGGTCCCCTTTAGTCCTGAGAATGCTTTAGATGAGAGAATTCCCCTGACGTCAAGTGTGATACTAACCCTACCCCACTTAAAAAAAAGAAAGAGAACACACTTGTGAAATCCTATTTAGCCCCATCTCTAGAGGATGCAGAGAACTACTGGCTGTCAACCACAAGAATTATGTTTTAGAAAGAAAATGCTAGACCAGTGCCGTATGCCAGCTCCTGCAGCCGCCTGGGACTTCTGGGCTCTGCTGGTTGTCCACAGCAGTCACCATAAAGACAGGACACAGCTGCAAACCCACGCATCGGTTCACTCTTCGACAATCAACCGAGCATCATTGTGGGGTTACCGATGAGTCTTTGGATGTTTTTACAGAAGCGGAATGTTCCTTTAAAATAAAGACCGCATTCCCCAGCCAGTCTGTGTGTCCGGGAAGTTATGGGTGTTCCCACTGTATAGAATCCATTTGAGATGCTTTTAGATCGCCACATTGTGTTAGTTCCTGAGGCAGACGCCAGGGTGGATGTCTCCAAGGCCCTTGGCCTGATCAGAACTGCAAACGAAAGTGGTGGTGCTGTGTTTTCTGGTAGAAATACACAGATGCAAACAAGGGAATGGCGTGGTTTTGGATAACAGCAAAGACAAGATATATCTGCAAATGTAATTACATTCTGAACTAAGCTCCTGGAGGAAGGCATTAATCATGGTGTTTGCACCTAAAGGGCAGCAGATACATGTAACAAACAAGGCTTATAGATACATGTAACAAAACAAGAGTCTCAAAAACATTCACCAGGGCAGGTGGGGGTGAAGATGCTGGGCCCCATGAGGGGGCAGTTTGCCCCAGGGGTAGCTGAAGATCTCCAGGGCTTCCGCCGTGAACTGCTGCCCTTTAAGTCTAATGGACATGACAACAAAGCTACACAGCTGCAAACACAACTTGAATCTGTGTTCCAGGCTGGCCACATCTGTTTCTGTTTGACTGGCTGTGTAATCTCTTATGCACAGCACTTAACCTCTCTGAAGCTCAGTTTCCTCTCTGAAAAATGGCATGACAATGTCTTCCTTTGAAGGGCCAGTGTGAGAACTGAGGGGTGCCATGGTATCTGGGATGGTTTTAGCTTGGTGATTGGCATGTGATATTCACAAGATGAAGATAGGCATTCGTGACCATCAGGGTGGGAGGTAGTGGCCAGGGCTTTCAGCACTTGTGTGGGCTGAGGCCTAAGGTTTACTTTTTTGGCAGGAGGTGGGCCATGGCCTGGCTGCTGGAAGACAGGGCTTCCTCCCTCTCCTTACCGCCCCCCCCTTCCCGGCAGCTCAGGTTTCTCCCCTGCATAAGCACAGACTGTGGTGTGGAATGCTGGAGTCCTAACCCAGGGACAGCCATGAACTGAGCTGGGACAGTGCTGCAGGAGGTTCTAAGAAATGGGCTGGTGGAGGCCAGCCTTCCTCAGCTTCTCAAAAGAAAACTAGCTGCATTAGATGCAGGTTTTCCGTCCTCAGGGAGGGCCACTGGGCACTTGTGCATGAGCAAAGACAGCCTTGGGCTGCTGGTAGCTCCAGCCTTCATGGAGAGCCATATCTGCGGGCTGTCTCCCAGCTGGATCCCCTTCCTACAGGACAGGAACTGCTGCCCTGATATCTGTGCCCATGTGTGTAGCTGCCTTTGATTGAGCTTCAAGGACGGGCCAAGGGTGGCTTCTGCAGGGAAGAAGTTGCCTTCCTCTGCCCTGACTCCTCCAGGACACCTGTACCACCACACCACCTACTGGGCATCTTTTAAGTAACGTTAGTGTTCTTCCAAGTTGGTCTTTGTCAGGAAAGCGGTGAACCAATGCCAGTTCTTTCTCACCCTAGACCTCAGCCACCCTCCACTGTGGTCTACTCACTGAGTCTTCCCATTTACACAACTCCACACTTTTTACCTCCTCTCATCCTCACCTACGTATTAAAGATAAGGAAGCCAGGGTTCAGGATGGCTGTGCAACTTGCCCAAGCTCCCCAGCTACATCATAGCTAGGTTGTAAACTCTGTCCGCTTCCAGTTATTTCCTCTGATTACTTTAGGTAGCCTTAAGGGAGACCGAGAGACTGGGTAGGTGCTGTCCCCCACGAGGAGACCAGTGTTGCCTCTGATTGACTGGTAATAGTTGTTGTTGGGGCAAGGTCTCAGTGTGACCTTGGTGACCTGGGACTCACTATGTAGGTCAGGCTGGCCTCAGATTCATCAAGATCCTCTTGCCTCTGCTTGGCGAGTGCTGGGAGTAAAGGCATGCCCCGCCACACCTTGTAGCTAAATGTTTTTCTCTGTCTCGCCTGGTCCTGCCTAGTCCTGCGGGACTGGTTTCTCTCCCGCCCATCAGTCCCCACAGCCACTTATGAAATAATCAGAGGCTAATATTAAATATAATTGCTTTGCCAATGGTTCAGGCTTGTTACTGGCTAGCTCTTTGTTTTTTACTAATCTGTGTATCGCCATGTGGCCATGGTGTTACCTCTGTTCTAGCATCTTCCTCCTTAGCTGCTGCTGGCATCTCTTTTCTTGGGTCTCGCATTCCTCTTGGCCCCCACCCTTCTTCCCCTCTATATCTGTTTGGATTTCCTGCCTAGCTATATATAGGTCAAAGCAGCATTAATTATCAACCAATGGGAACAATGTGTTACAGAAGGAATCTGCACCACTACTCCTGGCCTTCTTTTCTTTTCTTTTTGGTGTATATATGTACTTTCTTTTTGTTGCTTGTATGTACTTTGTATTGGGTAACCAGTTAAGGGGGCTTATCCATGGGAGAAGCTAATTCTTTTTTCAGCAGTTGTGAGTTCCTGTAGATGTTTGTCGAGGGGTGGGCCCCTTGAGACATCCCCCTTTCGTGTTAAAATGTCTGATATTGTCATTGTTTGAGTTTTATTGGCCACATAGTTGGGGTATCATGGGTGTAGCTCCCTTGTCATTGGCTAGGTTTCCAGTACCAGGCATGATGTCACTCCTATTGAGACCTTAGTCCATTTAGAGAACTGTTGGTTACTATCAAGATGAGTGCCACTGCTGCAGCCCAAGGGACATCTTGCTCAACTGATCATTGTGATTCATAGGTGTCATAGCCGGAAAGAACTATTGATTACCCCCCTCCCTTGGTGGCTTACGCAGCACTCTCTGGTGCTAGGGAAACCAGACCAAGCAGCAAGGAGGCTCTCAAGTTAGATCACCTCGAATCTCACGAGACCTGTGTCTGAAGCGAGTGGTGTCTTCAGGATAGGAATTCACCTTCAACCTCTGAGGGACCTCTGAACCCTGCTGTTCCCCTCTCCAGGCCCCCTCAACCACGATCCCTTTTTACTTTCCTGGTTTCTCTAGTTACTCTCTCCACCTCTCCTTTTGAGACAGGGTTGATCATTGGCCTAGGGGATCCTCCTCTGTCTGCCTCTCATGTGCTGGGTTTATAGGTGTGCACTGCCACACCTGGCTTGCTTTAAAAAAAAAAAAAATGGGTCCCTGGGGCTGGAGAGATGGCTGAGAGGTTAAAGAGCATTGCCTGCTCTTCCAAAGGTCCTGAGTTCAATTCCCAGCAACCACATGGTGGCTCACAACCATCTGTAATGAGGTCTGGTGCCCTCTTCTGGCGTGCAGACATGCAGACAGAATATTGTATGCATAAAAATAAATAAATATTTTTAAAAAATGGGTCCTGGGGTTTGAATTCAGACCCTTCAGTTTAGAACACAAGCACTTTGACGACCGAGTCATAGCCCCAGCCCCGTGACTGGCTTGGTAGCCTGGGACTCACCAAGTAGATCCGGCTGGTCTCAAACTCACAGAGATCCGCTTGCCTCTCTTTAACAAGTGCTGGGATTAAAGGTGTGCGCCATCACACCTGGTTGTCTTCTTTTCCTTTCTGGTATGCATATGTCCATTTCTGTTGCTTGCGCGTGTATTATTTCAGAACCCCTCTCTCATCTTTCATTTTCAGAACAAAGAGATAGAAGAACTCACCAAGATTTGTGACGAACTGATTGCCAAAATGGGGAAAAGCTAACTTGGAACCAAGTGCTTGGACTTGGCCGTTGCGTGCAATACGACCGTCGGCACACTGTCGCCCTTCCGATTCCGTGGACAGGCTCTCTTCTCACTTTATATGCACTACTGTGTTCCTTTCTAAGTAAGGTTGGTTTGACCGTATGCAGTGCCGAGACCTACCGGGATTCCTTGCTATCTGTTTGCATTTTCTAGTATAATTCATAGCAAGTTGACCTCAGAGTTCCTGTATCAGGGAGAGTGTCAGATTCTCTTATAAAAAAGACAAATTGCTGACCTTGGCCTTGTCCTTTGGTGAGCAGCATCTGATGTGACATGAACATATGCAGCCTGCATAGGGACTCTTGCCTTAAAGAGTGTACAATTGATCCACATTTGCTGGTTGGTTTTTTTGTTTTTTTTTTTTTAAAAAAAAATGCATGTTTCAAATAAAATTCTCTATTGTAAATAAATTTTTTTCTTTGAGTCTTAGCAGCAAGTGTGGCTGTGAATTATTTTCTGGGAGTGGCTGAGTCCTTTCTTGCCTCCATTAAGTCATATTAGGTTTGGTCTCTGCCTCTGTCTGGGCCCCCTTCCTTTCTCCGCTGATTTAAATAGCGTTTCCTTCATTATCATGTCTGGGTTTGTAAGAGGAAGCAAATGAGAAATATTGACTTGGGCTTAAATAATTAAGTGGATTTATTGGATTAGCTTAGATTTCATTTTTACAAAGCCTCAGCCATTAGGCAAAAATCTGTTTCCTTTTATTATTGTGTGAAGGAAGTGGAAAGCTGCCAGACTTTCTTCCCCGCCCCTGGGTGCATGACCAACCCTGAAACACGACCCACTCCTCCCTGGTGGGAGAGAGGTAATTCGCCACTTAGCAACCCGACTAGTCGCAGCCAGGTTCCCGGATGCCCCAACCTCGACCTGTGACCTACAAGGAGACCTATGGTAAAGGATAAGATGGGGAGATATGGAGGAGGTGGAAAGGAGTTGGTTTTCTGGGCTGCTGGCACAAATTCCTACAAACATAGCAGCTGAGAACTACAGAGGTTCCAAGTCAAGATGAGGTCGGGGCCCGTGAGGAGGACCCATTCCATTCCTCCCCCAGCTTGCCGTATCCTTGGCAACACTCCAACCCCTCAGTTCACATCACCTTCTCGACCTTTTGTGTTTCTATGTCTCAAAGACTCCATTGTAGTAAGTGTTCTCACTCCAGGCCTTTTTCTTATTTTGAGACAAGGTTGCTCAAACTGGCCTTGGACGCATTCTGCAGTCCAGGCAGCTCTTGAATTTACAGTTCTTCCGCTTGAGCCTCAGACTTAGCTGGGCTTACAGTCTGTGCCTCCATGTCCAGTCCTGTGTAAGGATACCATGGTTAGACTGAGAACCTATTGCCAATCCAGGGTGATCTCATCTTGGGATCCACAGTTACATCCGCAAAAGCCATATCTAGGGAAGGCCGTATTCACAGGGAGCGGGGACTAGAGAGTATGCATGGATTAATTTTCTTTATTACGCCATGTATCAGTGTGTAGGTGAGGCCAGAGGACATCTTTGGGTACTCACTGCGTCACACGTGGAGGCTTAGGGATGACCTGCAGGTATCAGTTCTCTCCTTTCACTGTGGGGGTCCCGGGGGTCAGACGCAGGTAGGTCATTGGGACTGACCGTAAGAGCCGGTACCCACTGGGACATATGCACCGGCAGAATGTGTGGTGTGAGTTGAGTGTAAAAGACAGACCCGAGCGCCTGTGTCTCAGCTTAACTGTCCCCCTTCTCCCTCAGGCACAGTAGCTATGAGTCACTCATTGTAGAGGTCCCCATTGCTGTCAGAGTGTCTGGCAGAGAAGATGGAGTAGAAGTCTCCACTGTGACTTATAAGGTGGATGAAACTCGGCCTCCCAGGAGCAGGAGAGGGACACAGACTCACTCATGGTTGGTCCATTTGCCTGGTGGGCCGTGGGCCTGGTAGCAATGGACCAACCACATCTTTAGGTCCCTCTGAGTTTTTATTTCATTTCCTCTGTATGCAGGCTCCATTGGCAGAGCTCTGGCGTCACGGAGTAAGGACAGGGAACTGCCCAGCGCTTACTGCCCGACCCTGCCAGGGAGGACCCAGAGTCCTCGCTTGCTCTGGTCACATATATCTGTTCCTTTCCAGGATCCTCACCTCTCCTGCTTTCTCTTCTATTTGCACCATTTAATAAAATATTTTCATCTAAAAAGATGTCTAATACAGGCAAGGAAAGCATCCTCATCCCCAAACCAAGAAACTACACGTGTTGTGATTTTCTTTCTTGGCATATGAAATATTTACCTAGTTTTTTTTTTCACTGTGCTACTTTTAAGATACTTCACCTGTTTATGTGTTTATCCATTATCCACCCAGCCTCAGGGGTCTATGTTCCAGCTTATTAACTTTTTTCCATGTAATACTGTGATGTGACTCTCATGTAAACTCTTTTTTCTTAGTAAAATATTTTTTGATTATATATATATATATATATATGCTGTTCTAGACAGCTCGGCATTATATATAATATAGATAGTATAATATGTGTAATAATATAATTATATAATACCAAGCTGTCTAGAACAGTGGTTCTCAAGCTTACTAATGCTGTCACCCTTTAATACAGTTTCTCACATTGTGGTGACCCCAACCATTAAATTATTTCCATTCACCATATGGTGAATCATAATATATATATCTGTGTTTTCCGATGGTCTTAGGCCACCCCTGGGAAGGGGTTGCAACCCCCAGGTTGAGAACCACTGGTCTAGAATGTCACCGGAACAGTGGCCTCCTTCGGTGTGGATGATGACACGGTGTTGTTCAAGTCACGGAATGATCCTTCCATAGGAGCTTCATCCGAGATGACTGACAGTGTTGCTGTGTGTGGACAGGAGCCTGCTGGAAACTTTGTGGGGTTTATGGCCCTACACTGGACAGCCAGGTCAGTATCAGGACAGAGCGTGGATGTGTTTTGAATGAAAAACGTCCCCCATAGGCTCAGGCATCTGAATACTTGGTCCCCAGCTGGTGGCGCTGCTTGAAGAGGTTATGATAAAATTCAGTCTTCCTGGAGGAAGTTCATCCTGGGAATGAGCTTCAGGTAAACCTTAGCCCACTTCAGTTTCACTCTCTGCCCTGTGCTTGTGGCTTCAAGATGTGTTTCTCAGCTCCCTGTGCCTGCTGCTTGTATCTGTGTCTCCCACCATGATGGATGCTCATCCCCCTGGAATGGTAAACCAGGATAAACTCTTAAGTTCATTTTGGTCATGGTGCTTCATCGCAGCAACAGAAAAGCTACTGATTCGTGTGTTCCTGACAGCCTCACTTTTTTTTTCTCCAAAAGGATATGCAAGGAGAGTCCGTATTTTACAGATAAGAAAAACACATCACCAAAATCAGCTTCTTCTTCTGCCTGTTCATCTTCCTTGTTCTTTCCTCTTCTTGGATGGGCAAGTCTCCGTTGCATCAGGTTTCTCTGTAGCTTGTGGACAGTGTCTCCTTCTCGTGTTTTCCTTTATCTCCATCCTTTTCCTAGGATTGTTTATCACCGATATAGGGTTGGTACATCTCTTCTGGGGCCCTTGGAACATCAAATAACAGACCATGATCTCCTTTGCTTTGGAGTGATACCTCGGACAGAAAAAACAGGTTCATTCTTGAGCTTGTCTTTTGCTTCCCCTGTAGATGGGAGCTATGTGTTCATTTTTCCAGAGGGGCTTTTTTTTTTCTTTGCTGCAAGATCTTATTTTGGAGACAGGGTGTGGCTAACATCCCACTCGCCGCATAGATTAACATGACCTTGAACTCCTTGACCTTAACCTCTTGAGTGCTGAGGTCATCATGCCTTGTCTAGCTTCCTACGTCTTTGTATTTTATTTCCTCTTCCTTTTAGTAGACCCGCTCTACTTTTGAGCCCTGCTTTGAAACTCTGGGAGCTGATGGAGGCCACTGTGTGATTCTGTGTTCTTTCAGATAAGCTTACACAGAAAGTCTATGGTGGTACGGTTTGAATGAAAATAACCTGCATTGGCCCACAGGGAGTGCCACTCTTAGGAGGTGTGGCCTTGTTGGAGGAAGTGTCTAACTGGGGATGGGCAGAATTTCCAACAATTTCTTGTAAAGGCCATTGTACCTTTTGACATTTTATACTGTGTATTCATGTGAAGGTGTGTTCTCCGCATTGGTGATTATAAAATCTAAATATTGGCCAACTCTGAAAAACATTGGAGATACTTTAAATCGTGCAGTATCAAGTATTAAACCAAGATCTCATTTTTATGTGAAAATAAGTAAGTGTGCCTTCTCACCAGTGTGCAAACTTGCTTTCATCCTTAATAAACGGTGAACTATGTCTAACAAACAAGTGTTTCAAAATAAACTTCTTCGTGATTTCTTGCTGGTGAATGTCTGATTTGTATACCATTTATATGCCCGTATACACAGGGCCTCCTCTGCCCAATTGAGTGGGGTTGGGCAAATTGATTGTGCTTGCAGTGGAGTAGGAAGTCCACCAGGAGGAGCTGCAAGGCATCTTTTAAAAGACACAGAAGACATAGGAAGAGGGAGGCAGAAGCCAGGACTGAGACATTTGATCCTTGCTGTGGTTCAGATGAGTTTCAGGTTTGCCTGTGTCAGGCATGCTTACAGAGTGTTCTCGGTTCTTTTTGATTCACCACAATCCAGGGGGCCTGTCCAATGTTGATGTCCTGTGGCATTGTTTATAGCCAAGGTCTACTTGTGAGATCTAGGGCTGTCCTGTTGCTTCTCCCAACAGCCAAGAAACCACATTGAAATTGCTCCCCCCCCCCATTCCTTCCTTTTTATTATTTTTCTTTTTTTTTTTTTTGAGACAGTCTCATATAGTTCAGGTTAGCCTCAGATTTATTGTGTAGCCAAGGATGACCTTGACTTCTGATCTTCCAGTGTCTACCTTCCAAGTGCTGGGTTACATGTACCACAGTGCCCTGTTCTATGCGGTGCTGGAGACTGGACTCTGGTCTGTACCTTTGAAAGTGCAGGAGGTTTATTGCTTAGAAACCTCCCAGAGTTGGTGCCTGTGCTGCTTAGTTTTACGTCAACTTGACACAAGCTGGAGTCATCTGGGAGGAGGGAAGCACAATTAAGAAAATGCCTCCACGAGATCCAGCTGCAGGCAAGTGTGTAGAGCATTTTCTTAGTGATTGATGTGGGAGTGCCCAGTCTATCGTAGGTGGTGCCATCCCTGGGCTGGTGGTCCCGGGTTCTATAGGAAAGCAGGCTGAGCAAACCGTGAGGAGCAAGCCAGTAAGCAGTACCCCTCCATGATCTCTGCATCAGTTCTTGCCTCCAGGTTCCTGCCTTGTTTGAGTCCAAGTCTTGATTTCCTTCAATGAAAGACTATGATGTGACGTGTAAGCCAAATAAACCCTTTTCTCTTTGGTTTGCTTTGCTCATGGTGTTTCGTCAGAGCAGTAGAAACCCCTAACTAGGA